CATAACAGGGGACTGTAAAAAAAAACAGTATAGTACCTACTGCTTCTGTAGGATATCCACCCTATTTGCAGGGTCACTGCACTAAAATATATATGCGTTTATTTTTAAAATAAATAATCATGTTAAAATTTATTTAAATATGTTAGAATAAGATAAAAGAGAGAGAACTTGTGTATACTCTGCACATATCAATCTGACAAGAAATTAAAACATTATATCATTTTAAGATGGATGAAAATCATTAATGAATAGTTAGACTAATTTAGTTTAAACCTGTCCACGTGTTTTAATAAAGGTTTATAATTGTCAAGAACGATGGATAAGAGTTACTTACCACGCCTCATGTTTTATATGATTTTAAAATCTAAAATTAATCTTCAAAATCTCAGTTTTGGTATGATTTTAAAACCGTTTCAAAGATTAAAATTATGCTATTAACAGTCGAACTTGACATAAGCGGTCATCTCAGTACCAGAATCTATGACAAACGAGACTGACTTTAATTTTGAAATTATCAATTTCCCCCACCTTAGTAGCAATATACCAGCTTCACCTGCATATGGGATATACATTTCCCAACTCATTCGGTATTCAAGAGCTTGCAGCTGCTACTCAGACTTTATAAAACGTCAACAGTGTCTGAGCAGAAAGTTGATGAACCAGGGTTATATCAAAGAACGTCTCGTCCTTTTTCTACAAAAGTTCATCGGAAGATACCAAGACCTTATTGATAAATATTCCGTATCAACTTCACAAATAATACATGATGGTCTTGAAGTATAGATTCTAGGTACTGACGTTGTTTATCATCTTAATTACGTGTTATAGTGTTCTTTTATTTGTCTTTGTATATTATTAACCTTTACTGTTTAGTCAATTTTTAGGTAATATTCTTTTGGCGTGGCTCGGTACTTATACATCCCGCCGTTGTGTTATTGTGCTATGGTCATTTTTTTGTATTTTTGTCTTTCATTTTTGCTTATGTGCTTTGTCTATATTTCATTTTGTTTTTCTTTGTTGACATATTTGTTTGTTTGTATAGTCATTAAGATTATAACACAATGTTGACTGCTGTACCCCAATTTTGACATTTTTACCTATTATATCTGTTTGATTTGTTCACACATTGTTGTCAATATATTGGATGTTTATGCAGCTCTCATACAATTGAGAGGTTCAGCTAGTTATAAAACCAGGTTTAATCCACAATTTTCTACATAAGGAAATGCCTGTACCAAGTCAGGAATATTATAGTTGTTTTCCATTCGATTGATATGTTTGGGCTTTTGATTTGCCATTTGATAAGGGACTTTACGTTTTGAATTGGAGTTTGGTATTTTTGTTATTTTACTTTTTAATTGGATAAAACGAAATAAAGAGAATAAACATTACATTTTACGCCTTGTCAATAAATTCACTTATCGCAATGAAAACTCTTGAACTTGTTTGCCTTGTTAACAACGTTACCAACAAAACATAAAATGTGCAATGCTTTTTTTCATTCAAGTCTCTAAGTATAATCATACCTTACGATAAGTCACCATTTATGTGTTAAAATCAAGTTAATCAAATTAACGCTGTATAGACGTACATATATTTTAAAAGCGCGAAGGCTATGTAAATTATAAAGTATATTAAATTTCAATGATGATGGTATAAATAAGTGAACAGTTAAGAGTTAATTCTGCGTATTGACAGCATTTTTTTTTTATATGTAGCTATTTGCCGACGAGATCTTGCAAAGAATTCACCTGAAGCCTTTAAATTGCTATAGGCCGTCTCGAACTTGGAGTGAGGAGTGAGCTTTTGTTCGCCGTTAAAGGACTCGTTCTTGACTGTGAGTTATCTTATGTCTTTGAGATAAAAGTACAGCAATAAGAGTGCTGTTCCTTTGCTTCGAGTTTGTAAAGTGCATATAGGGTTTATGTGTCTTGAATAAATACACCATATCCATTCTTTTACTTGTATAAACTAAACTTTTTTTCGTTTAGCTATTTCTATATTATATATAGTGACATGTTGTAGGTTTGTCTCAATGTAATATTTGGTCTGATACTCTTTGGATGGAGTTAAACTGATCTTCAGGTTTTTTGTATCACGCTTAAGTTTTATCCAAGTGGTTTCTCTTACTTATACATTGTATGAATGTGTTTCTGATTTTAATGAACAGACACTGTGTGTTAAAACACAGATATCGAAATATTCTGATGTTGGTTATCTGGTAAAACCTGGAATCCGTGATGCACAAAATACCAATATATATATACAATCTAATTGGTGATGTTTTCGGATGTCACGAATGTTTTGTGTGTCCAAAATACATGTATGTGAAAAAAACTAATGAAAGATACCAAGCTGGCTTATGATTTTGTACGCGACGCGCGTTTCTTCTACAAAATAAAGTAAAATAACAAAACTACCGAACTCCAAGGAAAATTTAAAACGGAAAGTCCCTTATCAAATGGCAAAATCAAAAGCTCAAACACATCAAACGAATGGAAAACACCTGTCATATTCCTGACTTGGTACAGGCATATCCTTATGTAGAAATGGTGGATTAAACCTGGTTTTATAACTAGCTAAACCTCTCAATTGTATGACAGTCGCATAAAATTCGATAATATTCACAGCAATGTGTGAACAAAACAAACAGACATAATAGATAAAATTGTCAAAAAAGTAAGGTTAATAATATACAAAGACAACTAAAATAACACTATAACACGTAATTAATATGATAAACAACGTCAGTAGTACCTAGAACCTATACTTCAAGACCATCATGTATTGTTTGTGAAGTTGATACGGAATATTTATCAACAAGGTCTTGGTATCTTCCGATGAACTTTTTTAGAAAAAGGACGAGACGTTCTTTGACATAACCCTAGCTGGTTCATCAACTTTCTGCTCAGACACTGGTGAAGTTTTATAAAGTCTGAGTAGCAGCTGCAGCTGCAAGCTCTTGAATACCGAATGAGTTGGGAAATGTATATCCCATATGCAGGTGAAGCTAGTATATTGCTACTAAGGTGATGGAAATTGAAAATTTCTAAATTAAAATCGTCTCGTTTGTCATAGATTCTGTTACTGAGATGACCGCTTATGTCAAATTCGACTGTTAATAGCATAATTTTAATCTTTGCAACGGTTTTAAAATCATACAAAACTGAGATTTTGAAGATTAATATTAGATTTTAAAATCATAAGAAACATGAGGCGTGGTAAGTAACTCTTATCCATGAGTAGCAGCTGCAAGCTCTTGAATACCGAATGAGTTGGGAAATGTATATCCCATATGCAGGTGAAGTTGGTATATTGCTACAAAGATTCATCAGTGATGCTCGAATTAAAACAGTTAAAAGGCCAAATTAAGTTCGAAGTAGCATAGCATTGAGGATCCCAAAATTCCGAAAAGTTTTGCCAAATACATCTATGATCATCTATATTGGGGTATATGAATGACTCAAACAGAACTTACCATGTTAGAAAGATCTCACAAATTTGTGTGCAAAATCATCCAAGGACTTCCGAAACGGAACCGTTCTGACAAATGTACAAGTCTTCTTGGTTGGTTTTCAATTGAAAGCATTATTAACAGATTTAAACTTTTATTTTTGGTAGATTATGTAGGTTGAAGTATTCAGCGTTACCAAAACGATTATGATCAGCAGACTAATGAAATTCAAACATCTATGCGTCCCAGAACAACTTGGTTTTATACCTGACATTTATAAAGCAGCCGAGGAATATAATATTACAGATTATATTGTGAATTTTTGCAAATACTGGTTATTTTTCTTTAAAAAAACTTTGGTCAGCCATTGTAAACCGGAAAATAAAAGCAACTGACGAAAAATTGGGGTTATACCGAATTTCAGGCGCTAGTGACTTTTATAATTTATGTTTGAACATATTCATTCTGCAATCAAACCACATAATGCATGGACAATTGCAAAACAATTTCCTGAACTTCGTGCCTCTGCCGAGTATGTTATTGACTTATGTTCTGTAGTACGTTACGAAGATGAACATTTACTTTGTGACAAATGTGGCAAGTTCTTTTTGAATAATGTTGAACATTTACTGGTGTCCTGTGATTCTATACAAGACAAACGAGATGATCTATGGCAGGAAATAATCAACGTTAATCCAAATGAGTTCATTGTCTTTATGGACAGTCTCTCTGCACCCGAATTCACAACAGTTCTTTCATGCCGTACATCATTCGAATTAGAAAATTACGAATTGACTTTTTTCTCCAAGATGTGTGTTCGTCATGTGAAAAAATCCGCAGATGGTTTGACAATCGATAGTATATGTGTCCGTAATCGCCATTATATACAGTGCTCATGTTTTCTCTTCTTTAACTTGACAGTAACTTACATTTGTTTATATTTTTTTGTTTTTTGTTTTATGTATTGCACGTACACCAAATATATATCATAGAGAAATAGAATTATATATTATACATAATGTGTTTGATCGAATACAAAAAAAAGAATAAAAATTAACCGTGTTGTTTAGGATCATTTCGGAGTTTAGTGTCAAATATATAAAACCACGGGCCCCCCGATTATATGCTTTGATTTCTTGTTTGGCATATCTATTAAATGTAGTTCATATTTGTCACACTAACATTTATTTTGATGGACTCATGTTAACCAATCTTAAGTCTTCTGTTTAGCGTTTTGTTGAACTAATGTTTCTCTGTTCGTCTTGATAATGTTTTGTCAGTCTGTCACAAGTTCTTCGACGAATGGTATCTCGATTGCATAATTGGTATCAGACTTCTCTTCCCTTTTATAACAAAGGTATTTTGCCCATAACAATACATAACATAACATAACATAACATAACATAACATAACATAACATAACATAACATAACATAACATAACATAACATAACATAACATAACATAACATTTTGGGTTATGGTAAACTGTTGCTTTTTATAGTGGTATTTCTGGTTCATGGTTGTACCGAACTAAGAGGGTGTGTTTGTTTCAAAGTATAATTTTGTTTGTAATTTCTGTTTATTTTTGGCTTAATTTATGTTTCTTTTTATAATAATTTTTCGTACTTTTATTAAATAATTATTTTTAAAACACAAACCGACGACGTAATTGCATGGTTTCAAAGTGCTCCACAGAGTAATGCGTTTGTTTGAAAAAAGCGCACCCTCGTAAGCACAGTCGCCAAAAATGGTAAACCGAAAGTTAATAAACAGATTAATTTAGCCAAGCTGATTTGCAGTGAACCTTCTTGGTGTTCATGTTGTTTCATGGTGAACAGAATAAGTGGAGAAAAGTAATTGCATATGCCGAATTCCTTGTTAAACTTCTGGTGTTTAGCAAAATCTACTATGTGTATGTAGCCAAAAAATTATGTGTTCTCTCTTTATATTAGTTTTTGTTTTAATATTTCAATTGAATTAATGATGTAAACAATTATTTATTTCACTATAATGGAGAGAAATGACCTGGTTTTCCATAGATTATATTGTTATCCTAGGATGAATAGCTGACAGTCACAAATAATATTATTCTGATGACTCAAAGTGTTACTAAAGGTAGACAACTCATATAATATAAAGTAACAGATGTCCTCTTTTTATATTTGAAGAAAACCTTTATTAAACCGTTTAATTTTTATACTACTAAATTAATTTAAACTTCAACGAATTATAGTTATCTCGTACCATTGTAAACTCGTACCAATGTCAACTCGTACCACTAAAAAAAACTCGTACCAATGCAAACTCGTACCACGGCTAACTCGTACCACAGAGAAAATCGTGGCAGATTGGCTTTGTTGTCTCTCTTGAATAGACTCTTTTTTAAACTTTTACTGACAACTATTTGATTTAATTTTTAATCATTCCAAATCGGTAACATTGAATAGATTTGTGTATTTTTCTATTGTTTCTAAAAGGAATTTTATTTAATGAAAGAATTTATTAATTGTGTTTTAAAGGTTTAAAATTGTTTATGACCAACAGTTAGAAAGTATGAAATAATATATGTTTATATAATATTCAGCACTTTGTAGCAGAATATGACCATGCTTTTATTTGATATAAATAATAGGTCATTATCATTCTTCTATTTTATAAATATCACCTGTAGTGGAAGATATGCATAGTTCTTTTAGAAAAAGTAGCCAATATATGAAATGGCACCTGAGATTACTCTCGGTTTTAAGTGGGGTTCGTGTTGCTTAGTCTTTCGTTTTCTATGTTGTGTCTTGTGTACTATTATTTGTCTGTTTGTCTTTTTTATGAGTTTGACTGTCCCTCTGGTATCTTTCGCCCCTCTTTTTTAATGATGTGTCTAATGGTATTGTGAATGACCAGGAGGCGTAATGGTAGTGTTGGCAGAATAACAAAGAATATGTTTCATTTTGATGCTTTATTTACCACAATTTCAAGAACATTCATGTATAAAAATTAACAAAACATCAAATATTACTATTTTTTTCTCTCAAGAAATACACCTTATGTTTTATTAACATATATATCATATATTATTTCACATATATATCATATATTATTTTGTCTAAGTTTTCATTAAATTCTGGTATAAAATTCAAAGATATTTTAATTTTTTGTATAAAGCTTAAAAAAAATAATCATAAAACATTCGTATTTATGTCTAAGTTTTTATTAAAATCTAGTATACAATTCAAGTAATTCAACTTTTTTTGTTAAGTTTACCCCCAAAAAAATCATAAAACATTCGTATTTTTGAATATATTTTTAATGGTACGAGTTTGCAGTGGTACGAGTTCTGATTGGTACGACTTCCCAGTGGTACGAGTTTACGTTGGTACGAGTTAACTTTTTTGGTACGAGTTTACGTGGTACGAGTTTACGTGGTACGAGTTTACAATGGTATGAGTTAACTTGCTTCCACTTCAACTACATGAACCCAAAGGCCATAGGAGCTATTTACATCAGTCAGTGCCCATCATCGACATAAACTTTTACAAAAACCTTCTCCTCTGAAACCATTCACCAAAAGAAGAATTTACCATTGTATGCAAATTTGTCTGCCATTCCTTAGAATCACACGAGTTCCTGCAAACATTGCATCACAATTTAAAAAAGCAGACGTCATAAATAAAAATTGATTGTTGCTTGATATCAGAAGGTTATTTGGAGACAAATCTGGGGTCATTTGGAGACAAAATTCAGCTGCATACCAAAAGTGTAAATACATGTATGTCTATTTCAACCAAACTTTAACTGAATGATTCTTAATGTATCTAGTACTAATTTTGTGTTTTTTATTCCTGCCTATCAACCAACATGGCAACCATGGAAAAAATAGAACTTAAGGATAAGATGCATTAATGATCATTTATCTCAGTCAAGGATATAACTCTATAGGGTTATTAGAGAAAAATAACATACATTTGTTATTGTGGACTAAAAAAATCAAAGAACTGTGATAACATATGTATATTACATGTTCCAAAGGGCCAATATACATCATTTGTTTTGTTAAAATGTATACAAGTTCTATTGATATTATTATTGTCTTTATGTATACTAAACTATAGAAAGATATAACAGTTCATAGTTTGCCAATCATACATAGTATACCTATGTTATTACAGAAAAAAATATGCCTGTAATAACTAAAGGGTGTTATTACAGCTTCTCTACATCACTTCAAAGCCTTTGCTCGGACATACATCATGCTTAATCACAATGTATTTTAATTTATTGTAAGAATTGATGATCAGAGCATGTAATGAGATTCTGCGCAAGCTTCCCAGTAATTCCCAAGTGTCTCATATAATAAGTTACATGCCTTTAATAACAAAACCTTGTTATTAGTCCCCATCCGATGAAGTCGAAGGGGACTTTTGGTTTGCAGTCTGTCCGTCTGTCCATCCGTCAGTTCGGCAAATCAGCTTTCCACACTTTTTTTCGTTCTGGAAGATATTGATTTGATATTTGGTATATAGTTTTATCAGTCAGGGGACTTATTGAAATAAATGATTTTTTAATCACTTATTTAAGTAGCAAATTCGAAGTTTTGTCACAAATTGTGATTTTGTAGTTTTACCAAAATTTTAAACACACAGGTTTAGATTATATCTTTTCATTAGTAAAATTGAAAAAAATTAACTTTTTGATTCTTTTAAACTGCCAGGTTTATGCATTTGATGCAATCATTTAGCTGCAAATTCTATTTTAGTTGAAAAAATGCCATTAAATTGGCTTTACATAATGAACTGATACTTTCTTAACAGATTTTTCCCAGCAGTGGGAGTATTTTTCTTGTAAAATTCAAGGTTTAAATTTAAAGAATATGTAATAAAATTCTACTGTTCGCGACCAAAATTTCACTGTTCGGGGGTGTTGAAATTAGTGGGGGTTATTAAAATAATGATACTTAAAGAAGTGATTTTTTGGAAGGAAATTGAGGTATGATACTTAAACAAGTGATTTTTATGTCATTATCCTAGATTTAGTACAAGGTCATCACCTGACATGACCCGGTCATCCTATCAACACAGATGTTGGTTCTGATAATTTTAGCAACATAATTAGTCCCTGGATCATTAGTATTCTATATTTAAAGCTACAATAAAATTAAATCACTTAGTCTAGTGATTAATTTGTACCACTTAAATAGGTGATTATTAAAGAAAGACAACTCTTACTTCCAACCTTTATGGACATAATGTTACTTGAATCAGTGATTTAGAAAATCACTCATTTAAGTAAGTCCCCTGACTGTTTATCATGACAAGTTATAGATCAAGTTTGTATTTTGTTCCGGTCTGATGATTTAGTCCAGAGTTATGGACCATAACTCTGGACCAAATCTTATTTTAGAGTACTATGTTAAACCATATTTCTGTACAAAGGGAGATAACTCATTTTTTAAAAGACATTCTTTGTCAAATTATTTGAAGAATTTTTTGGCAGGTTTGTTTGTTATTTAGTATAAACTAATTTTCTGAATGCCATATATATATATAAAAAAATATGAAGAGAAATCCTTTAATTAGATAATAATCTATTTTTATTAATGTATATATTTCAATACATTACATTGTGTAGATAAAAGTTGTTGACATTTTATAGATAAGTTACAAATCTATATTAGTTTGTGACAAATGAAAGAAAAAATATTTGGAACTATTAATTATATTTGATTATAATTTGAAAATAGATATACACTGTACTACATCATATCTAATTTAAGAGAACTATTAATCATATCTAATGTTTTTTTTTTCATCATGCTTATAAGATATTGATTGATAATTGGTATATAGTTTTATCATGACAAGTTACAGATCAAGTTCAATTTTTTGTTTCGTTCTAATAATTTTGTGCAGAGTTATGGTCCTTGGACTTGAAAAAATCACTCATATATAAATCAGTTTTCCACACTGTTTATTGACATGATATTTACTTTTTGTTTACACCATGACAAGTTATAGAACAAGTTAGCATTTTGTTCCAGTATAATGAATTTTTACCCGGTAGGGGACTATGTATTGCCATGCAATACTCTCAGAATGCTTGTTACAGCTAAGTTTATCCCTTAAAAGCCTTGTCTCATTGATTTACCATGGTTGATGAAAAAGGTATTAATTTAATTCGAAAATTAGTTATCAAGGCTATGTATTTAGTTTCTGCGCAAAGTTTCAGGACTTCCCAAGTGCCCACTAAAAATTAAAATATTTATGATTTATTTAACAAATAACAAACATATGTTACTACAGATTTAGAAAATTTAAGGATTAAAGAGTAGACAACTCATGAAAGTATCTGTAATAACACATGCAAGATATTTTCTCTAATAACCCTAAAGAGTTATATCCCTGACTGTTTATTGTCTGAATATCTTGAAACCATAATTAGATAGAAAAATTTGCAAGAAAACAATATGATCCTTCCTATTTCCACTAAAATAATCAGATGACTCTTTTTAGTCCCCTACAGACGAAGTCAAAGGGAACTTTAGGTTTGCACTCCGTCTGTCTGTCTGTCCGTCCGTCTGTCTGTACTTCTGTCAGTCCGGCAAATCAGTTTTCCACACTTTTTTTCTTCATGCTTGAAGATATTGATTTGATATTTGGTATATTGTTTTATCATAACAAGTTACAGATCAATTTAAAATTTTGTTCCGGTCTGATAATTTTGTGCAGACTTATAGTCCTTGGACTTAAAAAATTCACTCAAATATTCAGTTTTCCGCACTTTTTTTCGTCATTCTTGAAGATATTGATTTAATAATTGGTACATTGTTTTATCATGACAAGTTACAGATCAAGTTCGAATTTTGTTCCGGTCTGATGATTTTTTGCAGAGTTATGGTCCTTGGACTTAGAAAATTCACTCAAATAATCAACTTTCCACACTTTTTTTCGTCATGCTTGAAGATATTGATTTCATAATAGGTGCATAGTTTTATCATGACAAGTTACAGACCAAGTTTGAATTTCGTTTCGGTTTGATGATTTTTTGCAGAGTTATGGTCCTTTGACTTAGAAAATTCACTTAAATTATCAGTTTTCCGCACTTTTTTTCGTCATGCTTGAAGATATTGACTTGATATTTGTTGTATAGTTTACACCATGACAAGTTATATATCAATTCAGCATTTTGTTCCAGTACAATTAATTTTTAACTGGTAAGGGACTATGTATTGCCATGCAATACTCTCAGAATGCTTGTTTTAGGAGTATTTGCTTATTTTTCTTGAAATTTAAATCACAATAAAACAAATATTGTTTGTGTAACAACAATCATCATTTTGATTAAACCTTAAATATTGTATCTGCAAACTTTTTCTGTTAAAATTGTAGTATAAATTGGAATCCATATGGGAGAAAACAGGTTATTTTTTCAGTATTTTTCCTTCAATTTTAGGTATTCATGGTAATACTGAATTATGTTAACTGCTGTTAGTGTATTCTTTCATTTGGCATAATATGCGTGTGTATTTTACATTCTATAGAGATGATTTTATTGGTTTTGTAACATTTCAGGCTAAAATTGGAGCAAAACCTTTGAAAGAAAAGTAATATTGAAAGGAAGCCAAAGATGCAAAGGTAGGTTAGAGGTTATGTTGGTCCATGATCAGTTTATGTTGGTCCATGATCAGCTTATGTTGGTCCATGATCAGCTTATGTTGGTCCATGATCAGCTTATGTTGGTCCATGATCAGCTTATGTTGGTCCATGATCAGTTTATGTTGGTCCATGATCAGCTTATGTTGGTCCATGATCAGTTTATGTTGGTCCATGATCAGCTTATGTTGGTCCATGATCAGCTTCCTTTTTTGCATAAAATAATTGTTGCAGAGGTGATGAGTAAAGTACAACTAATTTTTAGTTTGATGCACTGTCTGGATTTAACACTGTTGCCTCAAATTTAGGAGGCCAGATGAACATCAACAAAATATGTCTAATCTCAACAAATATTTAATTTGCCTGTCCAAACCCAGGAGATGACCCCATTAAAGATTGGTGGATGCCTCAGTCTCCCTATTTTTGTTTTGTGTTTTATTTTATGCTGTTAGTTGTCTCTTCTGAAATAAATCTAAAATCTCACTTAGAAATAACTCTTCATGGGGATTTTTTTTTGGTGAAGGTTAGTGATTGAGAGCAATTGATTCTGCTCTCTCTGTATATATCACATGAATATTTTATATTCTTTAGTAATTACACAAATTGTTTTGTTGACGAAAATAAGAAAGCAACCCTACATTTATATATTAAACAGAAAAAAACCATATGTGTGATTGTTGCATGGATAAATTGAATAAACTTTTAACAAACATTCCCGTTTGAATGGTTTTTCACTAGTAATTTTTTGGGGCCCTTTATAGCTTACTGTTCGGTGTGAGCCGAGGCTCCGTGTTGAAGACCGTACTGTGACCTATAATGGTTTACTTTTATAAATTTTGACTTGGATGGAGAGTTGTCTCATTGGCACTCATACCACATCTTCTTATATCTATTAAAAAACAATGCACTAAATCAGAAATAAAATACTACAAACATTATGATTCCTGCACTACAAGAAGTAAAAATATTTACCACAATGATGAAAAATCATGGTTTACAGAAGAATGTTAAAGTTTATAATGTAGTGACAAACAATGTGTTATTGTAAATTTTAACAAATACCATTCGTATGAAAATAGAGTACAATTATATTTAGATAAAGAAAAATACAAACGGTTTAAAAATCAAATTACAAAAAGTATAAGTTCAATACATAAACATGGATAACAGGAATTGTCAAAAATACTTCACAGTGCAACAGACCATATTAACTACCAACACACCACTTCACCTTAAAACAGACATACCAACAAACACAAACAACTATGAACAACACATAGTCCAGATATCCTGACTTGGTACAGGCACAAAATGTGGTAATTTGTCAGGTTGAACCAGTTTTAAGTGTACCCCCATTTGCCTATCTAGCCCATTTGTCATGAATATGTTGTCTAGATTATGAAAAACTAATCCAAAGCAATTATATTTAAGAAGCCCAAAATCAGTGTTATTCATACCAATTTTTCTAGCCAAGATATCAAGCAGTGTTCACCTACAAATTAATTTATTGTCAAATATCATTAAACAGTTTAAATATGTATCTATTAATAAGAATCGATGATATATGCCAGAAATACAATTCCTATGATATGCATTAATCTTGAAACATTGTATCTGTGTATCACTTCACAAGACTAATCTGGATTTTCTCACTTATTTTTCAAATTCATTAATATTTTTATGAATTAGTTATTGACATAAGTCCATTATTTACATTAATTTGAGTATCACAAAAACAAATTTCATTTCAACAAATTCAATTTTAATTTTACAGTGTTGCACGTTTCTTGGGTGTTGGTGAAATTGATGATGGCACCAAAGAAAGATACAGACAAAGAAGAGAAAAATGCTATAGAACAGATCTGAAAGACCAAGGAGATGAAGTGGATTTTGGAAGAAAAAGCTGTGTTGGCAGAAAACAGTGCAAACCAAGGAAGAGGGAGTCTTTATTTCAGATTGTTGGAAAAGCTGTGGTAAGATTACGAAAAATTACTCAAAATCTTGACAGTCAGTTTTCACTCAAACATACTTAGAAATAATATGGAGCACAACCCTCGTCCAAAAGATATATTTTGCAGTTATCTGCTGACTGACATAAAATATTTAAAGTAAAGTAGCCATAGTAATCCTTATTAGATTTATCTTGACCTCATGTCCCATCAGTGCGAAAGGGTATATTGTTACAAGAGTATAATTGTTAATAAATCATACAAATAAAAGGAATTGCAAAAAAATACAGTTCAACAGACCAATTCATCTAAATTTAAATAAAATTTCATACAAAAAAATTTGATAAAAATTTTAAATACTTAGATATTCTGAAATTAGCACCTATTTCGTTAAAATATAGCAAATCTCCTTTATTATGCCACTTTAATGACATAATAGTAAAATTGCATCTTTAAGTTGAGATCATGTAAACATTCTCTAAAATCTTTTATTTAATTAGAATAAAGGAGTCAAAATATCAGTACATTATTTCATTTTCCATGAGCTAAAAGAGCCTAGTTATCCCTAAAATGTACCTTCTCGTTTTTCTTGAATTCTGTTGAAGTTACACAAGGGAAAGTTGCATATGAAATATTCTAATAGTACCTCTCCATCAAATGGCATACCCATTACACTTTCTGTCATACCAAGTGTAACATGTTATATTTTCTTTGTTAATTGACACCATTGATTTTTGATAAAAGATGATGCGGGGTATACAATGAAGAGATAATTTGTATGCCACATGTAAGATTGTAGAGGGGCTTTATGTTTTCCAGTCTGTACATCCCTGTGTCCCGAATCAGTTTTAATTTTGTAGTAAGATCAAGTTTTGGTTTAAAATATTTTGTGGTCACATCAGCATGAAACTTAGTACACATATTCAATATTAAGTGAGCTATTTAATTTATATATATTCCAAATAAGGGTTTTAACCTAGATTTCAGCCTTCACTGAACATAGAAATGTGATACTGTGTATCAGGTTAAAGTTTTGGTTTTAACCTAGATTTCAGCCTTCACTGAACATAGAAATGTGATACTGTTTATCAGGTTAAAGTTTTGGTTTTAACCTAGATTTCAGCATTCACTGAACATAGAAATGTGATACTGTGTATCAGGTTAAAGTTTTGGTTTTAACCTAGATTTCAGCCTTCACTGAACATAGAAATGTGATACTGTTTTATCAGGTTAAAGTTTTGGTTTTAACCTAGAAAACAGCCTTCACTGAACATAGAAATGTGATACTGTGTATCAGGTTAAAGTTTTGGTTTTAACCTAGAAAACAGCCTTCACTGAACATAGAAATGTGATACTGTTTATCAGGTTAAAGTTTTGGTTTTAACCTAGAAAACAGCCTTCACTGAACATAGAAATGTGATACTGTTTATCAGGTTAAAGTTTTGGTTTTAACCTAGAAAACAGCCTTCACTGAACATAGAAATGTGATACTGTTTATCAGGTTAAAGTTTTGGTTTTAACCTAGAAAACAGCCTTCACTGAACATAGAAATGTGATACTGTGTATCAGGTTAAAGTTTTGGTTTTTACCTAGAAAACAGCCTTCACTGAACATAGAAATGTGATACTGTTTATCGGGTTAAAGTTTTGGTTTTAACCTAGAAAACAGCCTTCACTGAACATAGAAATGTGATACTGTTTATCAGGTTAAAGTTTTGGTTTTAACCTAGATTTCAGCATTCACTGAACATAGAAATGTGATACTGTGTATCAGGTTAAAGTTTTGGTTTTAACCTAGATTTCAGCCTTCACTGAACATAGAAATGTGATACTGTGTATCAGGTTAAAGTTTTGGTTTTAACCTAGAAAACAGCCTTCACTGAACATAGAAATGTGATACTGTTTATCAGGTTAAAGTTTTGGTTTTAACCTAGAAAACAGCCTTCACTGAACATAGAAATGTGATACTGTTTATCAGGTTAAAGTTTTGGTTTTAACCTAGAAAACAGCCTTCACTGAACATAGAAATGTGATACTGTGTATCAGGTTAAAGTTTTGGTTTTAACCTAGAAAACAGCCTTCACTGAACATAGAAATGTGATACTGTTTATCAGGTTAAAGTTTTGGTTTTAACCTAAAAAAACAGCCTTCACTGAACATAGAAATGTGATACTGTGTATCAGGTTAAAGTTTTGGTTTTAACCTAGAAAACAGCCTTCACTGAACATAGAAATGTGATACTGTATATAAGGTTAAAGTTTGGGTTGTAGGTAGTTTGTGGTCACATCACCATGAAACTTAGTACACATGTTCATAATGCAGTGAACGGTTTGATATATATGTGATGTTTGGGTTTTTACCCATTTGTCACTGTCCACTTAACATGGCAACGTGAAAGTGAGAGGGAGGCATGATGTAGTGAACGGTTTGATATATATGTGATGTTTGGGTTTTGACCCATTTGTCACTGTCCACTTAACATGGCAATGTGAAAGTGAAAGGGAGGCATGATGTAGTGAATGGTTTGATATATATGTGATGTTTGTGTTTTTACCCGTTTCTCACTGTCCACTTAACATGGCAATGTGAAAGTGAGAGGGAGGCATGATGCAGTGAACGGTTTGATATATATGTGATGTTTGGGTTTTTACCCGTTTGTCACTGTCCACTTAACATGGCATTGTGAAAGTGAGAGTGAGGCATTATGTCCTATGGACACATATTCTTGTTTATCTTTTTGTAATGATGAGTTAAAACGCAAGTTTGTGTTTAGTCTATTTGATCAGGACATGTAAAGTAGTTGGTGTGTTTAGTCTTTTAGATCAGGACATGTGAAGTAGTAAGTGTGTTTAGTCTTTTTGATCAGGACATGTAAAGTAGTTGGTGTGTTTAGTCTATTTGATCAGGACATGTAAAGTAGATGGTGTGTTTAGTCTATTTGATCAGGACATGTAAAGTAGATGGTGTGTTTAGTCTATTTGATCATGACATGTAAAGTAGTTGGTGTGTTTAGTCTATTTGATTAGGACATGTGAAGTAGTTGGTGTGTTTAGTCTGTTTGATCAGAACATGTGAAGTAGGTGTGTTTAGTCTATTTGATTAGGACATGTAAAGTAGATGGTGTGTTTAGTCTATTTGATCATGACATGTGAAGTAGTTGGTGTGTTTAGTCTATTTGATTAGGACATGTGAAGTAGTTGGTGTGTTTAGTCTATTTGATCAGGACATGTAAAGTAGTTGGTGTGTTTAGTCTATTTGATCAGGACATGTAAAGTAGTTGTTGTGTTTAGTCTATTTGATTAGGACATGTGAAGTAGATGGTGTGTTTAGTCTATTTGATCAGGATATGTGAAGTAGTTGGTGTGTTTAGTCTATTTGATCAGGACATGTAAAGTAGTTGGTGTGTTTAGTCTATTTGATCAGGACATGTAAAGTAGTTGGTGTGTTTAGTCTATTTGATCAGGATATGTGAAGTAGTTGGTGTGTTTAGTCTATTTGATCAGGACATGTGAAGTAGTTGGTGTGTTTAGTCTATTTGATTAGGACATGTAAAGTAGTTGGTGTGTTTAGTCTATTTGATTAGGACATGTGAAGTAGATGGTGTGTTTAGTCTATTTGATCAGGACATGTGAAGTAGTTGGTGTGTTTAGTCTATTTGATCAGGACATGTGAAGTAGTTGGTGTGTTTAGTCTATTTGATTAGGACATGTAAAGTAGTTGGTGTAAAGTACAAAGCTACATTGAAGTAGTAGGGAACCTTAGATTTTAATGATTACCAGTAGAACACTGTTTAGGTGGTGTCTTCTTGATTTTTGAGATATGTTTATGCAGCAATGACCAATCAGAATAACAGTGTTCAGTTTGATGCGCAATTTAAAGAGATTTTCATGCTCTCTCCCCCTTAAAAAACACTTCACATCACCCCAATGTACCAAAAATGAAAAAAAATTACATTTTCAAGAACAAAATCAAAGAAAGCATGTGTAGTAGTGTCATTTTTACGCGTATTAAATAATAGTAAAAATATCTTTATAACGTACTTTAAATTGATTGTATTTATTATAAAAGTTTAAATCTTGAATTTTGGTAAAGGAATATTATTATTTAATTGCAAATCTACATTTTACTTTTTATATTGAGTTCATGAATATTCAGAAGGTTCTTACCTACTTAAAATTACGTATTTGATTGGTCATTCTGATTTCGCGGTCAATTTAGTTTTCTTTGTATTGATCCAGGGAGATTTGAACGGGAACTTGAAAATTACAGTCGCATGATATTGTGTGTCCTGAATTTATATTACCTGTACATTATTATTTTCATTCACTGTGGACACAACAAAATTACTGATTAGTACATCTGCACTCTCATGTAAACAATCAATCTTCAAACAATGTCAATGTGTAAAAATAATTAATTGTAACTATGTTAAAGTTGAATGGTGATATACCAATAACACTACATGTATGTATGCTATCTATCTATCAATGTGTATTGCTGGATAGTTTAAGTCCGCTCTCTCTTAACCTCTGCAGTAATTTCTCTAATCTGACCAGATGTTCCTCGTATGTATCGGAGAATATGATAAGATCGTCCAGATAAATGAAGCAGATATCAAGATGGAGGCCTCTGATATGTTGCTGGGCTGTTGACTAATCCAAACGGCAAGCGGTTGAATTCGTAAAAGCCTAGTGGACCAACAGTGAAAGCTGTTCTCTGCTTGTGGGACTCCTCTACCTCTACCTGATGGTACCCACTCTTCATATCAAGTACTGTATATAGCGTGTTACCTCCTAGAGTGTCTAGTATCTCTTCGCTGCGTGGCAAAGCGTATGAATCCTTCACAGACCTTTGATTAAGTTGTCTGTAATCAATACACATTCTGAGTTTCCCATCTTTCTTTGGGCAAAGTACCACATTAGATGACCAAGTTGAGTGTGAGCGTCGTATTATGCCAGCTGTGAGTAGTTGTTGTGTTGTAGATGTGTACGAACTTCATCAAACATGGCTGGTGGTATACGCCTGCTTGAACGGTGTTGTTTGCAAAAAAAAAAAAAATAGATAAAGTTTGAAAACTCCTGATTCCAGTACCTAAATATGTTTAGGATTTCTTTAACCAAATGATTTGATTACTTTGCAATATTTTTTCAGGGAGCAAAAGATAAAAGTGGAAAGGTAAATGTAGAAGAGAAAATGAGAAGTTTTGCACCAGCTGATCTGAATAACAAAGAGAAGTTTCCTGAACCATCACCTGCTGATGTTATTAAGGTAATAATTGTAACCCCACTCACAAAGTGGCTTGTATACAGCAATGACCTTGTCTTTCTGCTAGTCTGTCCTTCCATAACTTTTGTAAATATTACTCAAGAGTCTGCATTAATGAATGACTGAATATTTAGTCTGCGGCTCAACTGTAATATACGGTAGAAGTAGTTCCTTACCCAATTACGTATTCATACAGCAGCAAGGATATGTATGAGACCTGTATCAAATATTATGTATGCCTGTTATCGTAGTCTCCAATGACGGACACATTGACACATCAACACATAGATTGACACATCGACATTGACACAGCCTACAGCGCTAGATTGCTCTTTGACACAGACTACGGCGCTAGATTGCCGTTTTACACAGCATACAGCGTTAGATTGCCCCTAACCCTAATCCTAAACCTACTCTACCCCTAACCCTTATCTCTAACCCTAATCCTAACCCTAGCCCTAGCCTATGACGCTAGATTACCATTTGACACAGCTTACGGTGTTAGATTTCTATTTGACACAGCCTACTCCAGTAGATTCGTATTTTACACAGCCTTACGGCAGGAAATTTTTCCCTATTACACTTAGAGGACCGTAGATGCCAAAATAGCACAACACAAGGCGTTATATTGTTCTTTGTCAAATCCTAGCTATGGCGACAGATTGATCATAAACCAGTGTCGATATGTTGATGTGTCAATATGTCGATGTGTCAACGTATCGATGTGTCTATGTGTCGATGTGTCCAGATTAGCCATTAAATGTAATGCTGATTCACTCATTAATAATCTGCTGATGAGAACTATTTCTTCCTTATTCTCCAGTAGATCCTAGTCTGCAGCTTTGTATTGTTGGGTAGTACTTTGTAAACAATTTTCAGATCTTCCTGGCAGTCACTTCCTGTATGACGACACTGTGAATATTTATTATACCGCTTGAGCTTGGAATTTTCCTTTAATGTGGAAAATGACACTTTATAAGATATGGCATGCAACTCCTTGTTATTATTCACTTTTGTCTAAACATGATGAATTTTGCTTACACATTGGTAATAACAAATTCATGTATTTTTAAAAGACAATAATGTAGGATGCAATATTATTCTGATGCTTTGTAGGAGATGGTGTGTGTCAAAGTAAATTGTCAGTGTCATGTAATATTAATCTGATGCTTTGTAGGAGATGGTGTGTGTCAAAGTAAACTGTCAGTGTCATGTAATATTAATCTGATGCTTTGTAGGAGATGGTGTGTGTCAAAGTAAATTGTCAGTGTCATGCAATATTAATCTGATGCTTTGTAGGAGATGGTGTTTGTCAAAGTAAATTGTCAGTGTCATGTAATATTAATCTGATGCTTTGTAGGAGATGGTGTGTGTCAAAGTAAATTGTCAGTGTCATGCAATATTAATCTGATGCTTTGTAGGAGATGGTGTGTGTCAAAGTAAATTGTCAGTGTCATGCAATATTAATCTGATGCTTTGTAGAAGATGGTGTGTGTCAAAGTAAATTGTCAGTGTCATGTAATATTTGTTGAACTACTTGAATAATTAAATATAAAGGGGAAAGGGTATATAGTTTGTGATCCTTGCAGTACCTGTAGTTATAAGTTTAAATTTACCAGTCATATCTTTCCTATATTGGACTTGAAGGGGAGACATGTTTAAGTTTGCAAAAACAGTTCTATTTTTTATGAGCACATTGCCAGATATCATGAATAGAAAAAAAAAAAAGTTGAATTACATTATGGTCCATTCAACATTACTGAAAAGGTAATTTATCTCAAAATGATTTTAATCATTGAATTTTATTTTCTCAGTTAAAAGAAGATTTGTTTTATGATGAAATCATTAAAGATGAAGCCCTTGAAGGAAGGAATGGTAAAGGTGAAAGTCACATGGACATGGCTATGGAACGTCCTAGAGAAGTAGGTGATAATGGAAAAGTAGAGAGGAACTTTGATGAAATGGATATGCCAATGTCACGTCACAGGGAAGAAGAGGATCATGATGAGTAAGGCTGTTTACAATATATTTATAGTACAGATAACCAGCTCTGGGAAAATATCTGGAAACTGATATTGGCAAAAGTGAAAAAACAATGGAAGTAAATTTCACTGTTGTCAAATCTATTGTTTAAATACTCATTAAATCTTGTGATATCTTTTTAATACATTCTATAGATTTTGTGCAGCACAAGTTATTGAGATATATGATATATTATTATAAAATATGTTTGTGTACTTTCTAATATGGTTATTGCATAAATAATTGTCCAGTCTGTCAAAAAATTATTTTGAATTATTAAAAATCAGCCATCTTACACATCACATGTCCACATAATCAATATGTGTTCAGTGTGAGTTTTTATTTGTAAAAAAATAATGTTAAATCCAATGTTACTTTACCATGAGAACATAGCCTAACATAATGTCCTATTAGAAAAATAACATACAACTTCTTTAGGAGAAAGTGGGCAATTGTTTGGTTGATACAAACGATCAATAATGAATTCACAGTGAACAATGTGAAAAATTATTTGTAAGAATGATTCTTAGTGGAGCTTAGCAGATTTAGTTAGGATTTGCTTTGGGGGGTTATGGCTCTAACCGTTTAGGAATTAGGGGCAAAAAAGGGGGAAAAACAAGGGTTTCCTGGACAGTTTAAAAGCAGTGTAAGAGAGGTAATCCAAACACAACGTTTTGATTGCCTCCCTTACACTGCTTTTAAATTATGTATAAAGAAAGAAACTCAATTTTCCAATTTATTTTGTTAATTCTTTGTATATAGTCTGAAAACAGATTTACTAAGTATTGCACAACAGCAAGAAATCTTCAATTGAATATAAATTCAAATCATAAATTTGGATTCCAGACAATAACTTTAGTTTAAGTGTATGGATCTCTATGAAATATAATCAAAAGGTTCAATACCACAAAAGGAAGGTTGAGATTGTTTTTGGGGGTGATGGTCCGAACTGTTTAGGAAATAGGGGCCAAAAAGGGGCCCAAATAAGCATTTTTCTAGTTTCCATACCACAAAGGGATGGTTAGGATTTGCTTTGGGGGGTTATGGCTCTAACTGTTTAGGAATTAGGGGCAAAAAAGGGGGAAAAACAAAGGTTTCCTGGACAATTTAAAAGCAGTGTAAGAGAAGTAATTCAAACACAACGTTTTGATTACCTGCCTTACACTGCTTTTAAATTATGTATAAAGAAAGAAACTCAATTTTCCAATTTATTTTGTTAATTCTTTGTATATAGTCTGAAAACAGATTTACTAAGTATTGCACAACAGCAAGAAATCTTCAATTGAATATAAATTCAAATCATAAATTTGGATTCCAGACAATAACTATAATTAAGTGTATGGATTTTTATGAAATATAACCAAAAGGTTCAATACCACAAAAGGAAGGTTGAGATTGTTTTTGGGCGTGATGGTCAAAACTGTTTAGGAAATAGGGGCCAAAAAGGGGCCCAAATAAGCATTTTTCTAGTTTCCAGACAATAACTTGTGGAACGGTGTACGGATCTCTCTGAAATTATACCACAAGTTTCCATACCACAAAGGGATGGTTAGGATTTGCTTTGGGGGATAATGGCTCTAACCGTTTCGGAATTAGAGGGAAAAAGGGGGAAAAAAGGGTTTCCTGGACAATTTAAAAGCAGTGTAAGAGAGGTAATTCAAACACAATGTTTTGATTACCTCCCTTACACTGCTTTTAAATTATGTATAAAGAAAGAAACTCAATTTTCCAATTTATTTTGTTAATTCTTTGTATATAGTTTGAAAACAGATTTACTGAGTATTGCACAACAGCAAGAAATCTTCAATTGAATATAAATTCAAATCATAAATTTGGATTCCAGACAATAACTTTAGTTTAAGTGTATGGATTTTTATGAAATATAATCAAAAGGTTCAATACCACAAAAGGAAGGTTGAGATTGTTTTTGGGGGTGATGGTCCGAACTGTTTAGGAAATAGGGGCCTAAAAGGGGCCAAAACAAGCATTTTTCTAGTTTCAGGACAATAACTTGTGTATAAGTATTTTGATTGCTCTGAAATTGTACCAAAAGGTTCAATACCACAAGTAGAAGGTTGGGATTCATTTTAGGGGTAACTTGGGGGTTCAATTTTTTTTCTTCAAGATTTAAGAAATTGTCAATTTTCCAAAGAAAAAATTGGGGGTCACAATTTATTTTGCTAATTCTTTGTATATAGTCTGAAAACAGATTTACTAAGTATTGCGCAACAGCACAGTGTATTGCACAACAGGAAGAAATCTTCAATTGAATATAAATTCAAATCATACAACCAATTTCAAGTTCTTTGACTACATTTATTCTGTGTCAGAAACCTAAAATGTGTCAAATATTTAATTACAATCCAAATTCAGACCTGTATCAAGCTTGAATATTGTGTCCATTTTTGCCCCAACTGTTCAGGGTTGGACTTCTGCGGTTGTATCCAGCTGCGCTCCGCAAAGCAGTTTATTTTTTATTAAAATATTGCTTTATATATTTGGCTTGTTAAGTCACATGATTGGTGGTGGTGTAATCAGTATAATAGGCAATATTTGTAAATTTGAGAGATGTTTTTTTTTAATATTTGTTACAAAATATGTCAAACATATGAAAATGGTTTATTGTTAACGTTTAAATTATAAATTCTTTTATTTTATCTCATATTTCACTTTATTCATTCATAGATATATTATTTGTGGTTTAAAATTGCTTTATTTTGTGCAGTCATGAAAGACAATAAATGATAGACTGTTTATGCTGTTGTTATCTGGCCTTGGAATGGATTTTAATTGTAATCTTTTAAATGAATAGGTTACTATTACAAAACATCCATGTCACTTTTAAAAGTTGGTGTCTCATTTTGGTTCTATATAACAACATGAACAAACGCTCTTATCTATTTACAATGTTTTAGACACTTGGTGATATAGAATTTGACATATTACATGTATTATATACCTGTTTCTTGCTGAGACTGTATTCTGACCTCTAGATGTCTTTAAGTTTTTGTGTTGTTGGGTTACTTTCCTCATTAACTTACCTCACACCACTTTCTTCACACTTGAATCCAGGTTTTATTTTTGAGACAGAAAGTGCTTTTCAGACAAAATAGCAGTAAACATAAACTTCCAGTATTGTAAAAATTAACTTGCTTTACTGACTCTCTAGCCATTGTAATAAAATGGATTGGTTCTGTATCTGTTAACTGTCCATATATGACAAATTGTGTCTTGTTAAGTCTGGGATATAAATTGACCAAAACTAATGACAACATTCACAAGATCATTTCAAGAGCACATTAAATTCAAATCTAATTGCCTTAGACTTGGAAAATACTGAGAGAAATAGTGTTGATTAAATTTTCTAAATCAATTAATGGAACAAAACAAATATTTGATACCATTATTTTGATGCAACAAAGACAAAATTTAACGGTATTATATTTTATTCTTTAGATCAGTTAACAACTAGTTGTAGGTAAATATTAATTGGTGCTGTCTTGGCTTTATAAATTGAATTATAAAGAATGAAAATGAATTATGTAAAAACGTACCAACATACAATAAGTTACACAATATATATAGAGAGTGGTATATATGTATGTGAATTATTATGTGGTGTTTTCATCAGCTGTTATAGGAATGATGCATGTTTCATTGTTTCATGTTATTGTAATCAGCATAAAAGTTCTGATAATGTAACAAATGTTACACCTGTCACCAGGTACAAAGTTAATGGCCACAGTGGCACTTTTTGTCTTGCCTGCCTTACAAGACATTTAGGTGCTAATTTTCTGACAGCAGAATACTTGCTTAAAGCTGATTTAAGTTTTCTGATGAGGACTATTTAAGTATAAATACTTCAGATAAGTCATTGATATTTTGTATGCAGTTGATTACCATCCATGCATCTTAGTTGTTTGAATTTAATAAGTAAACAGCAAAAATGATCAGCAACACAATTACTACACGAATGTCAATAACATTGAAACCATCAGTTGACTCTTGATAGGAGTTATTGCTCTTTTCCAATTTTTTTTTTTATACTAATTACTATTATCCTGTAAAGTATAACAGAGGGACTATAACAAACTCTGTAACCATCAAAATAATCAGCAAAACAAAAGCTAAATTAAGTCACACAAATTTAGAGTTATCACCCTTTAATAACTATTTTTACCAAAAAGTTGCATTTTTCTTTGGAAAAAAATTAACTCTAAAACTTCTAGACTTTAGCCTTTAACTGTGTTTTGACGCAAACCGCAAAACATATTTCTATGTCAACAATTCAATTAGTATGATTAGAACCTATATAGATTCTGTTTATATCCCTCTCTAGGAGTAAGGGTTGTATTGCATTCACCTTGTCCTTGCATTTTTCACATTTTTTTGTGTGAACTTATGAATAGAATGACTTCATAATTGGTCAGCAGCTTGACAGTAATTAGTTATGCGGGAGGGCTTTTATGATCTGTCTGACACCTTCTTCCTGTTTTTCTGATATTTTGATTTTATGAGTGGAGGTATGCTTAGCGCTACAATGCATCTAACTTCTTGCTTGTCATTTTCGAAAAAGTGTTTTAAAAGGTAAATTTAACCTGAAGTGATATTAAACCATGCTTCTCTTTTTAATTCAATGATTTTGATCCTTTTTTGTCAGTGCTTTCCTTCCTAATAGTTGCAAAGCTTAAATTTTGTTGGAATGTCTTGAAGTGAAAAGTTTACAAATCTAAACAAAAGAAGATGTAACTGATTCAATATATGGCTGAAGAAAATGCAGTTTATTATTGGCATAGGTCTGTTGATATTTGATAGAACTATAGATTTATTTGGTTATCCCCTTGTTATTCAAACAAATTCTAATTATATCCTATCATATATGACCCAATGCAGATCAGTATGGTCAATGAAGTCCTCCCTTCCAGTACAGCATAAGGGAAGAAAATTCTAACTACAGATGAGTGAATTATTCAGCATTTTTATGCCCCACCTAGGGGCATTATGTTTTTCGGTCTCTGTGTCTGTTCGTCCATCCGTCTGTCCTGTTTCAGGTTTAAGTTTTTGGTCAAGATGATAGTGCGAGTGCGCTTCAGGTTAAAGTTTTCGGTCAAGGTAGTTTTTGATGAAGTTGAAGTCCAATCAACTTGAAACTTAGTACACATATTTCCTATGATATGATCTTTCTAATTTTAATGCCAAATTAGAGTTTTGCCCCTAATTTCACGGTCCACTGAACATAGAACATGATTGTGCGGTACTATGGACATATTCTTGTTTACTTCTGACCTTAGATAATGTATTTGTTTACTGAAAGATTGTAATGGGAAGATTTCGAAGTTTGTCATTTGTAATCGGTAAAGATGTTGTTGAATGCCTAACTTGTTCATTTCAAACAGATTTCTTCTCGTAATGATTAATACTGTTGGACAATATTCCTTTCAGGAAACTTTTGTTAACCCTCTGCAGTTATATGTTTCTGTGTCTGGCTAACCCCTTTATATTGCTAAGATTTCCCATTTTAATATTACATAGGTGTTTTGTACCTCCATATTGAAGAGTTAGAAATTGAAACTAGACAGTGAACTGATTAATGTTGGTGTACAGGTTCTTGAATTTGAAGAGGATTGAAATAACTTATTAGTTATTGTTTTAATGAAGTTTTCTGATTTGTATTCAAGTAAAAGGATTGAGGACAATGTATGCAGGGTGTGAATTTCTTGTCTTTATCAATAACCATTTATGAATGAAAGGAAAGAAAACTTGAATTCTAATGAACTGGAACTAGTTTTAAATAAAAAAAAAAGTAAGAGATGTTAGATAACAATGAATTTATTTATCAGCAAATTTTAATATGAACAAATCAGTAGCTCAGTAGAATCCTTTATATACTTGTGGTCATATTTGTATTTGGATTTTCAATAATTGCCTTCCAACTCCATACTGGTAATAGGGGGATACAGATTTTTTTTCTGAATGTAGAAATTACTGTGTTGCTAAGGATTTTCTGTAATTTTAATTCGAAGTGCTTAAAACCTGAGTTAAATTCTGAATGGAAAAATAAAGATTATGAAAAATAAATTCCTTAAGTTTTAATTATTCAATCCTGGTACTTTATATCTGTATTGCATGTATGTATAATTTTGCCATCACAGTCTTTACATATTTTGACAAAGACTCTTTATGTTACAGACTTGATACTAGAAAAATTAGGTAAGCCATATTGCATCATGTTACATTGGAAATTTATGTTGTCATAATGCTTTAACTTGAGTTTGTGGAATTATCACAGATATTATCATTCAGCCACTTTTAGGAGCATGAAATAGTTCTCCCTTTATTAATTGTTTGGACTAACCACTTACCCAAGAAAAATTTTAAAAACATGAGTTATTAATCTATAGAATATATAGTTCTGTTCACAAAGTACTTTGTTTAGTTTGCTTTATTCATATTTCTTTATCTTTACTACTGCTTTCTGATTTTTCATTCGTTTTTCTTTCAATGCCAATTTTCAAAGCAATAGCTCAGTGAAACATATTGGAGATGTATCATGCTCTATTAGGCATACCAAAATCAATATTCAGACAGAACTGCAATATAAGAAAATATTACAATCTCAAATAATTTCAGTTGAAGAATCATGTCTTGCAATATTATGAAAGGAGAAGGGGCATTAAGTAAAAAATTTCAAAGATGTGGTATAATTGTCAATGAGACAACTCTTCACCAGAGACCAAATGACAAAGAATTTAACAACTATATGTCATGGTCTGGCCTTCATCAATGAGCAAAACCCATACCACATAGTAAGCTATAAAAGACCCCAAAATGACAAATGTGAAACAATTAAAACGAGAAAACAAACAGCCTGATTTATGTACAAAACAATGAACAAAGAGCTAATATGATATACAGCAACAAACGGCAACCACTGAATTACAGGCTTCTGACTTGGGACAGGCCCTTTTTGGCCCAAGATAATAAAGCTTTTGAGAACTATTTCGAATTACAACATAACATTTGGAAATGTATACTGTCAAGAAATGTAAATGAAGTACACAAGATTTGTTATGTTATGACATCACAATTACTTCATAATATGCACCAACTTTATTGTCCCTACTCCTTTGGTCTTCATTGCTTATGTCTTGCTAGATGTTGTAGGTAAGAGTCAGTCCTTCAGTGTTATTTTAAAGTTCCACTCAATTGCATTATTATACCCCACGCAACGGGTTGCGGAGGGTATAATGTTTTTGACCCGTCCGTCCGTCAGTCCTGTTTCTTGTCATCGCAACTCCTCTCAAACCACACAACAGAATTTCACGAAACCTTTTTAGATAATAAGGACATACTATGTAGTTGTGCATATCGACAGGAAATTACGATTCAATTTTTTTTCTAGGAGTTACGCCCCTTTGAACTTATTTGCTTCAATGTACTACTGCAACAGTTTGTCATCGCAACTCCTCTGAAACCACAGCACAGAATTTCATGAAACTTTGTAGATAATAAGGACATACTATGTAGATGTGCATATCGACAGGAAATTACGATTCAATTTTTTTTCTAGGAGTTACGCCCCTTTGAACTTATTTGCTTTAATGTACTACTGCAACAGTTTGTCATCGCAACTCCTCTGAAACCACACAACAGAATTTCATGAAACCTTTTTAGATAATAAGGACATAATATGTAGATGTGCATATTAACAGGAAATTACGATTCAATTTTTTTTCTAGGAGTTGCGCCCCTTTGAACTTATTTGCTTTAATGTACTACTGCAACAGTTTGTCATCGCAACTCATCTGAAACCACACCACAGAATTTCATGAAACTTTTTAAATAATAAGGTCATGCTATGTAGATGTGCATATTGACAGGAAATTATGATTTAATTTTTTTTTCTTACACTTATTTTATTTCTCCAATGACAATGTGGGGACGTGGGGTATGTGAGCGCGCTTACTAAGGTTCTTTAATTGATGCATCAACAAAAGGATAATATTACCGGTACAAAGATTCAGGGAATTAAAGTGTTAGGGTCCTGGAAACCTGGTTCATGAATACAGAATTTGGTTCATATAAAAGGCCTGCTGTGGCATTTAAATTAAATAAATGCAATTTGCAGTATAAGCTGTTATGGTATGACTATGTTAAAAAAAAAACATATATATTCTGGTCAATGATGGCATAAATATAAATATCCTTCACTCACTTGTTGGGCTTAAAAATAACTGAAATAAAATTTGAATTTCTGATAGTAAATTGAATAATGTTCCATTTGGCAATTTATATACAGACTGTAACACTGTTACTAATATAATAACATTAGAAAATATGTTATTCAGGGTCCTATTACTCTCAATAAGAGGAAAAAATAATATTAAACTAAAAAATTAGTACTTGTTTCATGATCAATACCAGTCATGCCAGTAAGTCTCAGTCATTACAGCTGACTTTCAAAAAAATGTTATCAGAAAAAATACTTGTAAGTCATTAACATTTGAGTAAAACATTTGATTAATTTTTTTTGTAAGAATTCTTTTAAAGAGCGCCTGGACATCTTGAAGTTCTTCTGATTATCATACTACACCATGTAAATGCTGGTCAACTATAGATGGACAATGTATTGGTATTATATTAATAACTACAGCAAACATTCAACACCATACAGTACTATATATAATTATTTGGTTGCTACAGTCTGTTGCTGGTTCATTTTGGTCTGTGTCTGCATGCAGTCTTAAACTGGGTACAGGTGGGTGTATAGTAGAAGACTTCTGAGAGTCCTGTATATGAGGTGTTTTACAAATCATTATTCCAAACATACTATAGTTTATTATCGACTAATCCTACCAGTTGGCATCAATATGGTGAGCCACCACCCAGCTGATCACCCTCGTCCTGAAAATAGCAGTTTCAAGTGAACATCAACGAAAGTAAAATACATCAAAAACCAAATCAAAAATAGCCAATTGCAAGTGGTCATCCTGCTTGACAAAAGAACAAGGTTCACTTTAGGCCAAATATGACCTTGAATTTCAACTTTATCATAATTTGGTTCTTAAATGTATCTATTCCAAAAGCTTTACTACTAGGTTAGTCAAATCTCTTCATTAGAGCACATTCTTGGATTCAAAGTCAGCAAATTTGGGATATATTGTCAAAAAACGATGATTTTGAGCATTTTTCTGACCTATAAGCTTGAGGAAACCCTTAGCTGCAACCTAGGATCCAAAATGTTCTGTAGCCAAAAGTTGCCAATGATGAAATTGAATCCCAAGATAAAAAAACTTTCTTGATCAGGGATGGCGGCTAAAGTAAATAAGTTTAAAAACTGTAAAGAATTATTGAAATTTGACCAAAAGTGATGTTACAACACAAATAATGTATACTTAAGTGGTCATTTCTTCATCATTTTAAATGTGATGTGCCCAAAAGGAGTTATTTTGTATTAATAGTTATATAACAACTATTTCTAAGTGAATTTTGTAGTATTTTGGCCTGATTAAATAAAAACATAAAAATCTCAGGGCTAAATTTAACCCTTCGTGAACTTACTCCTTTACAAACAAAACTATTTAATTCTCTACAAAGGTGCCAAGTCGTCAATGCTAGAGCTATTTAGGTTTGAGGAGTTTTTTCTCATTTTTCCAGACTTTAAAACTTAGCCATTTTTAGCCATTTTTCAGCAAATTTATGAAAGAGGGTACAAATTTTGTGTAATCAACTCCTACAGTTTTCAACCTATAACCCTGACACTTGACAGAAAGATTGCATATATGTTGAAGTTGTGCATCTGCTATCATGGAATTGTAAGAGAAATTTTTTGTTATTTTTTCAGACTTGGGAACTTGGTCATTTTTCAGCCAAATTTAGTCACAAAATTTGCAACCTGGCCGTTTTAGACTTTGATCTATTTGTTTTTTATTTTTCTCACAAGTTTGTGCCATTTGAAGTGTAATCTGGAGGAGATTTTGCCATAATAATATTGTCACATATGTAGAAATGGGAGTTCATGATTGACTATTTGAAACTAACTTACAATAAATTAAGTCTTACCCCTTTGTTGATATTTCTTTGTGATATACTTTACCATGTTCAGTGTAGAGTATCTATATCCTGTTGATATTTCTTTGTGATATACTTTACCATGTTCAGTGTAGAGTATCTTTATCCAGTTGATATTTCTTTGTGATATACTTTACCATGTTCAGTGTAGAGTATCTTTATCCTGTTGATATTTCTTTGTGATATACTTTACGATGTTCAGTGTAGAGTATCTTTATCCAGTTGATATTTCTTTGTGATATACTTTACCATGTTCAGTGTAGAGTATCTTTATACTGTTGATATTTCTTTGTGATATACTTTACCATGTTCAGTGTAGAGTATCTTTATCCTGTTGATATTTCTTTGTGATATACTTTACCATGTTCAGTGTAGAGTATCTATATCCTGTTGATATTTCTTTGTGATATGCTTTACCATGTTCAGTGTAGAGTATCTTTATCCTGTTGATATTTCTTTGTGATATACTATACCATGTTCAGACTATATATAGACTTATACAGGATACTGTTCCACAAAGTGTACATGAGCAGCACACAAATTAGTAGTTTAAGGCTTATACAAGTTAAGGATTGCATGTGAAATAGTACCCATCTCTAAATGTTATTAGTAGTAGTTATATTACAGAATGGGTCTGTTATTGATCTCATAACTTAAAGCTTTAACTTTGTATCAACCATATTATAGCTTGTGATGTTTTCACTCACAAACTAACTGAAATTAATTATTTTTCCTATTTTGAAATTTTAAAAAGTAATGTCAAAAACATTATGGCACATGTATATAGGTTTAAGTTCTGACAATGTAACATATGTAATAAGACATCTGTACACAGTAAAAGTTAATGCTTCATATCACATAACAATTTTGTATATATTTTTAATAGATGTTCTTTTGTTGCATATCGTTCATATCAAGCTTTCAGTATTGTTGTATTGTGTGATAAGGAAAATCCAGTTTCAGTTTGTGGATTCATGATTCATTTCATTTTAAATTGAGAGCTCAGAAAAGTCTATAATTCAGTTTGACAGCTGCAGGCATACTAATTTTTGACCTTTTTTAACTGGACCAATCCCTACTTTACATAAAAATTCATCACCCAAATGTTTTTAACATGTAATTTCATCCCCCTACTTAATATTTCATGCATAAAATATAAAAAAATAAATTTGGAAAGTGTATGAAAAAAATTTACAAGTTATACACTGTCCACACTTGGGACTATATTTGTAGACAACGAAAATCAAAGGATGATTACTGTGTCCTCGGACCTAAAAGGATAGAAAGACTTGACCAATCTAATATAACTTTGCATGACCTAAGCTTAGTGAATTGTAAGATAGTTGGCCATAGGATATATATTATAGAAACAATGGCTATTTTAATATTGAACTTTGGCTGATTATTTTTTACGTTTAAATCGAACAATTTCAACTATCAAGATTTGGGCCTAAAAAATTCAAATATTGCAAAAAATTGCTTTTTAAATGCCTTTTTATGTAATGTTTAATGTATTAAAAGCAAATGAACACTCATTTGATTTATCAGATTTATTACAATGATTCAAAAGTCAAATTTATATGAGCCTGTGCCTGAAAATTGAGATTTTGGAATTAAGGGGGCCTTTCATAAACATACATTTTTTTAACCAATTTATAAAATATTTGAAATTTTTTTACCATAAATTATCCTTTCATATATATTTAATGAACTTTAAATGGAAAGAAAAGTTACAAATAGCATACCACATGAGTATAAAATGGTCTTAGGCCATGTAAGACTGAAAATTATTTTGGGTCTGCACAGTTTTTTCACTTTTCAATGGAAAACTTGCATATAGTTTTAGTCTCAACAGGCATATATTTGAATCACTTACTATCCTAATGAAGAAAATAAAGGTAGTTTATGAAAGGAATAAGGTGCACTTATCATTGTTAAGTGCTTTTATTACAGACTTAGTGAAATATTATGATGGACTTCAACTTTTATGTACAAAGCTCTTTCTTTACATTTCACATGCATCAAACTGGCCGTTTGTCAGACCAGGACCATAGATACAACACATTTTGCACATTTTTTCTGTGATAATCTACTTTTCTCTAGATTCAGAGTTCACAAATGATTAATGAAACTTGAATTAAGCATAGAAATACAAATATCATAACATAAAAACCTGTCAGATAGAAAATCAGCATACCTCTTAGGCATAAAATGGAAACTGCTTTAAATGCTTATTTTAGCTATATAATGGCAAAATGGGACATTTTTACAGAATTTCTATCAAATAAAGATGTAAATCCTTTACTTTTATTCAGTTTGACAAATTGAAACAAGCACATCATCCAGGAAAGTTGCCAAAGTACAGAATCTACATTTACTGAATTCATCTCTTATGCCCAAGAACACAGTTATTTCGTATTGCATTTCTTTTAGGCAATAAATTAAAATTAAAAAAATCGCACCTGCTCTCTCTCAAAAAGATTTTTACAGTACTAGTGTAGTGTACTACTTTTGGGACAAATAATATCAAAATTATAGAAAATTCTACTAGCTCTAACTCAAAATATGGACAATTCTATGTTGAGGGGGTCTATGGTTCAGTTTGACAGCTGCAGGCGTACTAATTTTTGACCTTTTTTAACTGGACCAAATCAATACTTTGTATGAAAATTCATCACCCAAATTTTTTTAACGTGTAATTTCATTCCCCTACTTAATATTTCATGCATAAAATTTAAAGAAATAAATTTGGAAAGTGTATGAAAAAAATTTACAAGTTATACACTGTCCACACTAGGGACTATATTTGTAGACAAGGAAAATCAAAGGACAATAACTGTGTCCTCGGACCATATAAGACAGATAACTTTTAGTTTTGTCTCACCTTGTCCAACTTTTCTCATTACTTCAATGCATCTGTTGTTTTTGTAGTGTTGTAGATTTTTCAAAAATCAAAGTTTGCCACCTGTATACTGTCAGAGATAAAAAGGTGTAAAAGAGTTTTCAAGAGATGAAGACCACAAGAGTTGGATTCCACTTGATGAGTGATATGGGTTCCTGGGGAACTACCCTACATAATTACTAAAGTTTTCTAAAAGTAGACAACCAGTCATCAGTCCTATGGTTGCAAAAGACTAACAAACGTTTTAAAATGATGACTCAGAGATTTGATAACCAACCTAATTTTTTGTGTAATACTGTTGTTTTAAAAGATACAATATAGTTTTGTTCTCAGGTTTATATTTTTACTCTAATAATCAATTGAGTCTCCAAATATTTTTAGGGTTCAAGAAACCATATTGCCACCCAGGTAAATGCATATTATTTGAATTATCTGTTTAAAGAATCTAGATAAAAACAAATATGACATATTGAATTGAATCGAATGAGATATATAGTTGTCTTTAAATGAATTAGTCTCCAAGTATGTTGGTGCTGTATTTGTTTCAATGTTTTTGAAGCTTAGAATTGATATGCATAAAATAGCTGTTATATTAAAATACATTCCCTTTAGATGATGCTTTCATAAAATCCTTATATTAACTTTATGCATACGACTAATTAACTTTAATTACACTTTTTGGATCTAAATTTGCTGTCTCTGAGTTAAGGAATATTAACATGTTTTATTTTGTATTTCTTTTAGGCTAATATTCTGCTTCTAAATAAACTCTGAAGTATGCAACACTGCAAATGCACTCTGTTCTTTTATATACAAAATTTTATAATATTCTAACAGTAAAGACATGCATCTGCATGGTTAAATTCTTTTAAATTAAATACAATAGACTTTACCTTTTAAAATAATAAATGGTTTTGACATTTTCAAGATTTTCTGAAATACTATCTTTTGGTTAAAAGAAATCCACCTCTTTAAAAATGGGCTTACTGTAAAAGCTACAAAAGAAAAACAAAGCCATCTTGACTCCTATGCACATTCTTCAGACATATAGTGAAAAAAGAGAACTTTTTGTTTTTCAAATTTTTTTATGCTCCCGCCGCAGCGGAGGGGGCATTATGTGTTACCCTTGTCCGTCTGTACGTCCGTCTATATATACCACAAAACCCAGATCAAGTTTGAATTTGGTTGGCTTCACTTTAACCGTTCTAGAGTTATGCCCCTTTACCAGTGGTCCGTTCTCTAATTTAAGTTTGCCTTAACCAAATGTTATGAAACTTATACACAATGCTAATTACCACAAAATTCAGATCAAGATTGAGTTCAGGTGGTGTCACTTTTACCGTTCTTGATTTATGTCTTTATTTGAAACCTCTAATGTTGCTATAGAAATCAAATTTTCTTCTTCAGCTTTGGATTGATATCTAGAAAAATCATGTTTATTATGTCTTATGAGTTTTTTTCACACATTGATAAATTTGTTTATAAGGCAAACATGGTATTATCCAATGCTCTGTCTGTTCATCTGGAATGCATGTGTTATGGATGATCACTTAATATTAATGAAAATTGTAAACAATATTCTTTAGCTTTGACATAAATACCTTATATTATGTTCCATAGAAAAAGATGCAATTTTGTTTTCTCTATAGCAGTAACAACAAATCAAGAGTTATGTTCCTTGGTTTAGTCAAAATTGATGATGTTGGATAATAGGATTAACATATAAAACAAACTATTTTAAGAATTATTTAATTCTCCTTTACAATAGAAGTAAAATTGAAATATTCAGTATCATAACTTTTATCAGTTGTTTTTATTGGTCAATTGACAAAAAGAAAAATTATTAATAAAAAAAGCTAAAAAAAAAATTTATTCCAGAAGATTTTAGCTCTGTCTTCAAATTCTTGTTTGATATAGAAAAATGCAATAGCTGATAATTTAATCATTTAAAGCTATTAAGCTTGATCTCTCAGACATCTCCATTTTAATAATTCATATAACATTAAGAAATATACTGTAAGAGAAGAAACTTGTAAAGATGTGCATGATATATACAATGTGCTAATCTATTGATAATGTCTCGCTTTAGTAAAAGTGATTTTTTATTTTAGTTCTTTGACAAAAAAATCCACAATTATATATCATCTGACAGCAATATGTATGTAATTATATCATTATCATATATATGTTATTTAGTTGAACAGATTTCAGGGTTGTTTTTAAAATTTGTTTGTCTAATTCTTTTTAAGCTCACCTGGCCCAAAGGGCCAAGTGAGCTTTTCTCATCACTTGACGTCCGTCGTTGTCGTTGTCGTCGTCGTTAGCTTTTTACAAAAATCTTTTCCTCTGAAACCACTGGGCCAAATTTAACCAAACTTGGCCACAATCATCATTAGGGTATCTAGTTTAAACAATGTGTCTGATGACCCCGCCAACCAACCAAGATGGCCGCCATGGCTAAAAACAGAACATAGGGGTAAAATGTAGATTTTGTCTTATATCTCTGAAACCAAAGCATTTAGAGTAAATCTGACGAGGGTAAAACTGATAATCAGCTCAAGATCTATCTGCCCTGAAATTTTCAGACAAATCTGACAACTTGTTGTTGGGTTGCTGCCCCTGAATTGGTAATTTTATGGAAATTTTGCAGTTTTTGGTTATTATCTTGAATATTATTATAGATAGAGATAAACTGTAAACAGCAATAGTGTTCAGCAAAGTAAGATCTACAAATAAGTTGTCATGACCAAAATTGTCAGTCGACCCCTTTAAGAGTTATTGCCCTTAATAGTCAATTTTTAACAATTTTTAGTTAATTTTTGTAATCTTTTACAAAAATCTTCTTCTCTGAAACTACTGAGACAAATTTAACCATACTTGGCCATAATCATTATAAGGGTATCTAGTTTAAAAAATTTGTCCGATGACCCCGCTTTCCAATGGCCGACTTGGTTAAAAATAGAACATAGGGGTAAAATGCAGTTTTTGGTTTATATCTCTGAAACTAAAGCATTTAGAGCAAATCTGACAGGTGGCTAAAATATTCATCAGATTTAGATTTATCTGCCCTGAAATTTTCAGACGAATCCAACAACCCGTTGTTGGGTTGCTGCCCCTGAGTTAGTAATTTTACAAAAATTTTGCAGTTTTTTGTTATTATCTTAGATATCATTATAATATCTAATATCTAATACTATTAATTATGATTTTAACCTTATTTTACATGATTTCCAAAGCATCAGTAAATACAGGTGAGCTACACAGGCTCTTGAGAGCCTCTATTTTTAATACGATGTAGTTTGAATTGTTTGAATTTCAGAGTTGATGTTGGTCCAGATATTCCCTTGACTGATATCAAGCCTAGGATACCAGTTAGAATGATATCAGGCAGACCTGCAATGAATAGAATCCCTGATGATATAACTCGTGAACTAGCAACAAAGCCTGATCTTAGGAAAAAGAAAAGAGAGGCAGTATTTGACCAGTTATGTGACAGTGCCAAGGATTTCTTTTGTTGTAAAATATGTAGGTGTAGTAAAAAAGATGGAAGTTTGGATAAACGGTTAGTAATATAATTTTCTTTTAAGGTGGTACATAACACTACAGGGAGATAACTCTGTAAAAATCAGCTGAATGTTTTAATCACGTTCTGTTATTAAGGAAACATTAAGCTTCTCAATGATCGAAATTAGTGTTTGTCAAACTGCTATATATCCAATGAAATTTTTCCGATAAAGTGTGTGGTTCAAGTTTTTTGAAATTTTCATATTTTTGTCAAAGGGTCAAAGTAAATATTTTGTCAAAATTTTATGAAAATTAAACGAGCTAAATTAATCTTAGTCAAGGTGTTTGGTACCACTTTAAAGCAACTTCAGCTTATACTGAACTAAAGAAGTTCATTAAAAGAGACATTTTTTCACTGATTTCAACACTGACAGCTTTGAAAAAATGGACAAGTCATGGTAATACTGACAATTGTCTTATTGTTTAAGTATTTAAACATGCTGTTTTAATATTATACCCCCTGTTTAAAGGAGGGGAATACTGGTTTAACACTGTCTGAGCCATGTAATTTAACAAAATGCATATCATAGAACATACAATAACAATCAATACAGGAAATTAAAAGCACTTTACTCTTAAATAACAGTATAATAGTTAACAAACACACAAAATGAAAAACAATATTTTACCGTACTAAAGAATGCTAGCAGTTACTGAAAGCAAGCTCAAAGTACTTAAACAACTGCTGATAAGAAGCCATGCCATCCTACACTCTAATATTGGTTACTGTATTTCATAGACAATTTCAAACATCAACCTCATAAAAAGTACAGATAGACACAATCTTGTGCAATGCCTAAAACAAACTATAAAACAAACAAGAAAACATTAAAGTTATGGTTTCAACTATAAATTAGCAAATTGATATTTATCCCAAAAATTACTGTAAATTCAGAACTTATTGTACTGTTTTTATGAATTCAAAAAAATGCAAAAGAATTAGCTTTGCAATAATAAAAACTTGCATTCATTATTTCAGTAGTGATTTTTGATATCACATTAATTAGATCTTGCATTTTTACCAGTAACCAGTCATTCCCAATAATAAGTGCACACATTAATTTCTAATATTACAATAGCAATTCGATAATTCTATTAAGGGAAGGAGAAAAAATTGAAGGACTATTCCTACACACGTTTATAAAGTATTGTTGGTAAAGCCTTTAAAAACAATAAGAGTGTTAAAAGCTGGATGAAATACCACTTTTTATCAAATTACTGCAGGTTGTATCATACTTTCCCAATATCAATGTAGTCAAATTTTACAACTTGTTTATTTTCATTTTGATTAAATTATTAATTAAATAATATATATGCATTAATGTATGTTTCAGACCGTATTTTTCTTATTTCATCACCTTTGTACAAGTAGTAATAATGATAGCAGCTGTGGCAGTTTATGGCTTTGCTAGACCTCACTATAGTAAAGTTGAAGATGAAGAACTGGTAAGATTAAGAGATATTTTGTGATGAAGGTCTCAAACAAGATAACTGCCTAGTTAAAACAAATTCACAATCATGATAGTTCATTGTGAAATGAGATTGTATGTGGACTTTTATATTGGGACATTGAAGGAATTTCTAGAATACTGAAAAACATCCTAAAACTGAAATATTGCAAAAAGTAATTTCAGAAATGCCAAAAAGCAGTTGTTCATAAAATTGTGATTGCAAGTAGAGCTTATTATTTAAACTTATTTCTGCTTTTATACACATACATAGGCAAAGATAGTGTGTATTGACTTGACATAATAACAATATAAGTATAAGGCTTAGAAACTTAAACCTTATATCGTTTTTCTGTCAAGGTAATGCACTATTATTGTCTTTGTCTAAAACACTTTTATACCCATTTTGTTTTTATTATATAATTTTAAATCAGCTTTTAAATGTTACCGTTTTCATGAACACGAGGAAAAATACAGAATTTATGCAGTTTTCCATCGTTATTTCCATTGTGGAAACATTGTGCGCAGCCAAGAAACAAAATCATTTAAGAGAAGCTTTATTATAACTATTGACATAATCTCACCAAATATAAAGTTGTTTCTTGGGTGCACACATACTTTTCCAATCTAAAATATATTTAAAATATGATGAAAAACAAGGAAAATCCAGAAATTTTACAAAATGTACAAATTTTGTCATGGTTTATTGCCATGGTAACTGTTAAATGCGAAATTGATTTTTCTAAATACCTTGTACCTTAGTCTAATTAGGACAAATTTAAGACTTTGTTTGATAACTTTAAAATTTGAAGTAATATTTGGGCCAAATAAGGGCCTTATTGCCCCTACCCCTTTTTTTATGCCAGTGACCATCTTATGGAAGTGTGTACAAATCATTACAACTTTAGAAGTGGGAGGCATGGCTTAAGGCAATGTAATGTCAGTGACAGTATATCAAATAAAAACACACAGTCAATGCATTTTGACTTCTCAAAAAGAACGATTGCAGTAAAAATACAAATAAAATGACATTGTCTTCAATTTGTAGGTTTTGAAACCCTCTTTATCCATTGAGCTAGTTAGAAAGTCAGAGTTTGGAAACATATGGCTGGGACCAAGACAGGTACATTATCTACTTATTTTAGATAACATTGATATCAATTATTTATTTTTCTACAGACCCTCTTTAGTATATATCTTGCATTGACGACCATTTGACAGAAAGCTGGCATATTTGGTAGGATTGTATGCCATCATATGTAGTTGACCATAAAGTACCACCATTTTGATTTAACCATTTTTACTGGAGTTATCGGACTTTGACAATTTGTTGGAGTAGTGTGACAGTACCTTGTGAACCCAACTCCTCTGAGAAAGTTTTACAAAAACCTCTCATATTTGATAGGATTGGTTACCATTTTGTGTAAATGTCTATATTATACAGTCAGTTTGATTTGACAATTTTTACGCAAGTTACAGATCTTTTTCCATATTTTGACTATCATACCACTGTGACACACTATTTGATTCCTCGTTTATACAGTGTGTGGGACATTTCACAATGATGTAGCCATATTTTTTCCTTTAATAGAAAAATTTAATAACACCTTAACCATTATGAAGCAAAACCCATACCACATAGTAAGCTAAAAGAGGCCCCAAAAGGACAAATTTTAAAAATTTCAAACAACAAAACTAACGGCCTAATTTATGTTCAAACAATAAATGGATAACACATATGATAATCAGGTACAGTGACAACCACTGAATTGCAGGAATCTGACTTGGGACAGGCACCTACAGAATTTGGTGGTGTTAAACATGTTTGCTGGCACCAAACCCTCCCCCTAACCTTGGACATTGGTGAACTTGCAGTTACTGAAAGCTAGTTCAAAGCTAAAAAGTAACTAATAAAAAAACATTCATCTAAGACTAAAATATCCATCAGTACACATCCACAGCCAGTAGATTTAGTGTAAAGACATCATTAACAGTCAAAGAAAAACATAACTTTGTGCAATGCAAAAATGTAGGTATCAACAGATTGCAGTACCGTGAAAGTACATATGTGTATAACAATAGTATGTAGTTTGGTTTTAATTTACTGATAACAAAATCAATATTTATACCGATTAAAACAATATTCAAAGATCTAATTACACTGCTGAATTGATAACTTTTTAGAATAAGTTTATTTAAAGGATTGACTTTAAAAAATGGAAACCAACACGTTATAAATTTCATGCTTCCGAAGCACTTTTCTGGATTTACCTTCATCAGAAACACTCAAAGCCAAATATTTGAAATCCAAGGATGTATAAGTACCTAAAAAGTTGAACTAGCTTACAGTAACTGCAAGTACTCTTACATTGGTACTAAGCCAAAAAAAACAAATAGATAGAAAGTTTGGTAGAATTACTTTAATGCTTATCAGCCAACCAATATTGCTGTCAACAAGCAAATTCATTTAACACTTTACTTATTGGATCAGGAAGTATGTAGAAAGGGTATAAAAAATGTAAATGGTTAGGCTAATGTATATGTTAATGCAGAACATGTTTATGATTGTTATGAGGCAACTGATACTAGTAAAAAGTAAAGTCACAAAAATACTGAACTCCGAGGAAAATTCAATCTGAAAGTCCCTAATCACATGGCAAAATCAAATGACAAAACACATCAAACGAATGGACAACAACAAATGGGAAAAGTGTAAAAACATCAGTAAGTGTTATAAAAAAAAATGATTCATTTAAGGATGACTTGATTCATCTTGGTGCCAAGTACTCTCCATGTATGAGAAAAGACCCAAATCTTGTCAAAGTATTAAAGTTAGATCGAGAAGAGGAAAAAACTTCCGGGTGTTGTGTGAGGGATGATGGTGCTGGGTGTGTTCAAACAGTAGAATCTCAATGTAGTGTAAGTATCATGACATGCCTTAACTCGAGAATCTCAATGTAGTTTATCTATCAGGACATGTTCAAACTCTAGATTCTCATTGTAGTCTAAGTATCAGGACATGTTTAAACTCTAGAATCTCATTGTAGTGTGAGTATTAGGACATGTTTAAACTCTAGAATCTCAAGGTAGTTTATCTATCAGGACATGTTCAAACTCTAGATTCTCATTGTAGTCTAAGTATCAGGATATGTTTAAACTCTAGAATCTCATTGTAGTGTGAGTATCAGGACATGTTTAAACTCTAGAATCTCAAGGTAGTTTATCTATCAGGACATGTTCAAATTCGAGATTCTCATTGTAGTGAAATTATCAGGACATGTTTAAACTCTAGAATCTCATTGTAGTGTGAGTGTCAGGACATGTTTAAACTCTAGAATCTCAGTGAAGTGTAAGTATCAGGACATGTTTAAACTCTAGAATCTCATTGTAATGTAAGTATCAGGACATGTTTAAACTCTAGAATCTCATTGTAGTGTAAGTATCAGGACATGTTTAAACTCTAGAATCTCAATGTAGTTTATCTATCAGGACATGTTCAAACTCTAGAATCTCATCGTAGTGTATATATCAGGACATGTTTAAACTCTAGATCTCATCGTAGTGTAAGTATCAGGACATGTTTAAACTCTAGATCTCATCGTAGTGTAAGTATCAGGACATCTTTAAACTCTAGAATCTCATTGTAGTGTAAGTATCAGGACATGTTCAAACTCTAGAATCTAAATGTTGTGTAAGTATCAGGACATGTTTAAACTGTAGAAACTCATTGTAGTGTAAGTATCAGCACACTCTAGAATCTGATTTTAGTGTCATTATCAGGACATGTTCAACTCTAGATTTTAGTTTTAGTTTTATAATAAGTGTCTACATGTGTTCAAACTCTTAAATCTCATAAACCTTGTAGTTAAAATTTCCCACTTCAGAAGGATTCATTTTTGGGCCTAGAATGTTTACCTGGTATATGTTTGTTTTGACCTGTACTTTGTTTTTGTCAAACATTAAAGGATCAGTTACTTCATTAAGTAAGAATTTGTTTCTGGTAGAATTCAACTATTTCATTATGTGGTATGTAAGAAGGACAACAGGAATTACATGTACCTAAAATATTGGACAGTAAAACAGACCACAAATACCACCTAAAGCTGACTCCTCTGAGAAAATAGACAAACAAACAAAGATAAACAACAACAAACAACATAGGATTCAGATAGACTGACTTGGTAAACGCACACAATTTGGTGAGATTAAACCTGTTGAACTGGAGCACAAATCTCCCCCTTTACTCTTCGTGTCTTTATTAAAAATTCTTTATTGACAACTCAAATATTCGAAAGTTGTTATGATTTTCTGATGAACAAATATTTCAACTTAAATTATGGTTTAATAATTACAGAATTTGATATCAACCTTTGTGAAGTGGAATACAACAAAACCATCCAGCTTAGGATTTACATCGGGGGCTGTTTGTGGACAAGATCCAAAGTAAGTTGATATTGAAATCATTGTTTACATTGCTTAAAATATATTCTTTATTTCTAAGTAGTCATATCTAGTAAACAGTGCATTCATATATGTCAAGCATTAGGTAGTTTTATTGTAAGAATTGTATCAATTAGTCTTTGTCTCTTGTGACTGTTAGATCAGCTATGGTGTTAAATGCCTTATATCTGCAGTCAGTCAAGTTCAATTTTTTTCACTTAAAGAGGATGTCTGGTTTTTGAATGCTATCAATATATTATTTTATTCAGAACATGAAGATATTTGGATAAAAGATTTTAGAATAATGACTTTTTATATTGTCCCCATTAGAATTACACAAGATTGTGAGAGCAGTTAATTTCTAATGTGGAATAGGGTTCGTCAAACTTTCAAAATTTCAAGTTCCCCATGTTTGTTTTAATATATGAAGCATTTACTGTAGCTAAACTAATTGTTCATCGGGCATATTTAAAAAATGGATTACAGATCCTTTGAAGTAAAATGAAGTCTATGTAAAAAGCTTACATCAGTAATATCTCAATTCATAAAATCAGAAACAGTAGATTATTTGTGTGGACTTGGAAAGGTAAATAATATTGAAAACAAGTATTATAAGCCCTCTCAATTCTACATTCCTCATTAAAGATTAATAAATATCAAAGATGAACATGAGTGACATCTCACATGAGTTGGAAAGTTAGCATTGTTCGAATATTTTGTTTGGATGCCACTTGGAAAAGTTAATATGACAAATTATCTTTAAAAGCATTTTTACACCAACATTTATCATTGGAGTTTATTTAAATTGATGTCATATAACAGAGGTATTAGATAGATTGTTTAAACATCAGCTGTGTCCCTTGGGAAAATAAATAAGGAAAACTTTAGAATATCAGCATGGAACATTGGCTACGCTGTAATAATCTTCCTTGAATTTGTGTTTCTTAACATATGACTGTGTTTATGTTACAGATACTGCAAGAAGCCATCTTCCATTCCTCCATTTGAATGGAATAAGAATGATATGACAGAATGGCCAGTAAGTTGTCCTCTTGCCAAATTACACACACACATTACATAGGAGAATTTAATGAACTTCTATATCTAGACATACATATATCATTTCTTTTTTTTAAATTCGGTTTTTAATATGATGTAAACTTTCAAATTCTCTTCACTGTATAGATTATTTTGTCGACCCTGCGACTTCTGTTTCAGAAAGCGAGACATAGGGATAGTGATCTGGTGGCGGCGGCGGTGTTAACTTACTACTTCAAAGCTCAATATCTCAGAAGGTAGAAGACCATATCCATTGTCCTTGACCTCATTTTTAGCTCACCTGACCTGAAAGGTCAAGTGAGCTTTTCTCATCACTTGGCGTCCGTCGTCCGTCGTCCGTAAACTTTTACAAAAATCTTCTCCTCTGAAACTACTGGGCCAAATTTGACCAATCTTGGCCACAATCATCATTGGGGTATCTAGTTTAAAAAATGTGTCCGGTGACCCGGCCAACCAACCAAGATGGCCGTCATGGCTAAAAATAGAACATAGGGGTAAAATGTAGATTTTGGCTTATATCTCTGAAACCAAAGCATTTAGAGCAAATCTGATATGGGGTAAAATTGTTTATCAGGTCAAGATCTATCTGCCCTGAAATTTTCAGATGAATCGGACAACCCGTTGTTGGGTTGCTGCCCCTGAATTGGTAATTTTAAGGAAATTTTGCCGTTTTTGGTTATTATCTTGAACATTATTATAGATAGAGATAAACTGTAAACAGCAATAATGTTCAGCAAAGTAAGATCTACAAATAAGTCAACTTGACCAAAATGGTCATTTGACCCCTTAAGGAGTTATTGCCCTTTATAGTCAATTTTTAACCATTTTTCGTAAATTTTTGTAATCTTTTACAAAAATCTTCTCCTCTGAAACTACTAAGACAAATTTAACCAAACTTGTCCACAATCATCATTAGGGTATCTAGTTTAAAAAATGTGTCCGATGACCCCGCCCGCGAACCAAGATGGCCGACATGGCTAAAAAAAAGTACATAGGGTAAAATGCAGTTTTTGGCTCATATCTCTGAAACCAAAGCATTAAGAGCAAATCTGATGAGGATAAAATTGTTCATTAGGTCAAGATCTATCTGCCCTGAAATTTTCAGACCAATCAGGCAACCCGTTGTTGGGTTGCTGCCCCTGAATTGGTAATTTTAAGGAAATTTTGCAGTTTTTGGTTATTATCTTGAATATTGTTATAGATAGAGATAAACTGTTAACAGCAAAAATGTACAGCAAAGTTAGATCTACAAATAAGTCAACATGACCAAAATTGTCACTGACCCCTTAAGGAGTTATTGCCTGTTATAGTCAATTTTTTACAATTTTCATAAATTTTGTAAATTTTTGTAAATTTTTACAAAGTATTTTCCACTGTAACTACCGGGCCAAGTTCATTATAGATAGAGATAATAGTAAGGAGCAAGAATGTTCAGTAAAGTAAGATCTACAAACACATCACCATCACCAAAACACAATTTTGTCATGAATCCATCTGTGTCCTTTGTTTAATATGCACATAGACCAAGGTGAGCGACACAGGCTCTTTAGAGCCTCTAGTTATGGTTAAGTGACTACTTGGAAAAAAGTTAGAATTTTTTGTAATGTTAATTTCTCTCTAGGATAACTATATTTATTATGTGCGTACCTTGCAAGGTCCTCATGCCTGTCAGACAGTTTTCACTTGTCTTCGACCTCATTTATGGATCAGTGAACACTGTTAAATTTCCGTGGTCAAGTCCATATCTCATACTAAAAGCAAAAGGTCTACTATATTTGGTATATGGAATGATTGTAAGGTGTACATGTCCAACTGGCAGATGTCATCTGATCTTGACTTCATTTTCATGGTTCAGTGGTTAAAGTTAAGTTTTTGTGTTTTGATCTGTTTTACTTATACTGTATGCAATAGGTCAACTATATTTGGTTATGGAAATATTTTACGATGTACATGTCAATCTTGCAGGTTTTATTTGACCTTGACCTCATTTTCACGGTTCATTGCTCAGTGTAAAAATTTTGTGTTTTGGTCTGTTTTTCTTAAACTATAAGCAATAGGTCAACTATATTTGGTGTATGGAATGATTGCAAGGTGTATAAGTCTGTCTGGCAGGTATCATCTGACCTTGACCTCATTTTCATGGTTCATTGGTCGTTGTTATGTGTTCCTGGTTATGTTTGTTTCTTAGATACTATAAGCAATAGGTCAACTGTATTTGATACATGGAATGATTGTTAGGTATACATGTCTGTCTGGCAGGGTTCATCTGACCTTAGCCTCTTTTTCATGTTTCATTGGTCAATATGAAGTTTTCATGGTTTGGTCTGTTTCTTGTATACTACGAGCAATAGGTCAACTATATTTGGTGTATGGAATGATTGTAAGGTAAACATGTATTTCCGGCTTGGTGTATATGACCTTGCCCTCATTTTCTTGGATCATTTCAAGTTTATGCGATACTTGAAGTAAAACTTTATACTTAAGACTATCAACATAAAATCAATGATCAGTAAAGTAGGCGAGACATTTCAGCGTGTGCATTCTTATTTCAATAGAGACAGACTTGTGTTCAACTATTTTTGGTGAATAGATTAACCAATTAGATTTGTTCTGTTACTGCTTTGCTTATTTTTTAACTAAATTTTAGAATTTATCTTTTTCAGTTATGTTTAGACACAAGAAAACCTGGGTATACTCAATCTGGAATCATTAATCAAACTGACAGACACATGACATGTGAGATGTTAGGGAGGCCATGTTGTCATGGTATGCAAGGAGAGTGTATGATAACAACTCGAGAACATTGTGACTTCCTCAGGGGATACTACCATGATGAAGCTTTCCTGTGTTCTCAGGTAAATTTCAAGTTTGAAAAGGTTTAATAACATATACAGTTAACTCTTGTTGTCTTGAACTTAGTTGGCTCGAATTTTTCGAGTGAGTCCACATTTTCCCATGGTCCCAAGCTTTGTTCCATATAGATGTATGTATTTCAACTCCTGATGAGTCTAAATTGGATGAGTCGAAATTTCAGTTGACTCTAACAAAATTTAAGGTCCCATGGTTAACAAAAGCATTTAAAATGCATTTTTTATCTCGGACAAATACACATATGTCAAAACGACCGTCAAAACATGACCTCCAGTATTTAAATGGATTGACAAGTTAATCTGACAATTATTTATATTTTAATTAATAGTAATTAAATTTCCAGTCATTGACCACTGTAATGATTTATGACATCCTTTTGCCAGGAGTGTTTACTTAAGATAAACTTTGACCACCATGATAAATGATTAGCGATACATAGATTATGAAAAATAATTTAAATGTTTTATATCAATTAACCGTAATCATACATTAATGAGCTTAGTTGTGCATAAAGTGATTAAAACATCTCAATCAGCGTCTTTAATTTTTATATTTTCTTTTGCAGAAAGAGTTTAAAATATAAGAGAAAATGAAAAGAAATGTAAATTTTCTCAAATCTCTTGTATACAAGAATGAACATTTTTGTTAACTAATGTTAAGATCAATTTGAAACTGTTCTCTGGGCCTTAAACTACAGGAAATATTGTGACGTGCAAAGAAATAACTTATAATTTTATTATAATAATGAAATACTTTACATATGTGATCTTAGACAGACTATCAATTCCTTACCAATATTCATCTAGATTTTACTTCAGCCTTGCGAAGCTAAGCAAGAGTTGTGTCCCTTTGTCTATCAAACTTCTGGTATTTGTTTGAGTCGAACTATGGATAGATATCTCAAAATATTTCTCTGGTCTGGCTGACTTCCAGATAACAAGAGTCGACTGTACAATATAAAAAAATCAACACATCAACCCATGTTGACATAATGTAATGGACAGTCTTGACTCTTGATCTTACTGAAAAGTCTGACCTCTGTAGTTGAGGGTGAAAACCTAGATCTTACATTTTAAGTTTTGATCCTTTCACAGCGAATTTATAAAATGGTCGTTAAACACCCCATTATGTCCCCATAGTAGAATTTATAAAAATTGTGAAATTTTTTAAAGAAATCAAACTATCACTTACTTGAATTGGAATAATAAATTTGTTTTATTCATGATTATTTACTTGAGAATTATATTTTGTCAGGTGAATTGTTTTGAGGAGGTGTGTGGTATGATACCATTTGTTTATGCTGACAGACCCGACCAGTTTTCTAGAGTTTGGTCATCTAATCTACTTCATGCTGGGTAAGTGTGTAAGACAATTCCTTCATATTTTACCTAAAGAGTACTAGATATATTACTATGTTTTTGAAATTTTTACCAAGGAGTACTTGTGACTATACATTGTTAAGTAACCAGGAAGCCCATGGTATTTACCATACACAGGAAGAAACAGCAAGGTTATCTTTGCAATTCAAATACACAAAAAAAAATTTGGGAAAAATTTGTTCAATATTCCATCTGTCATTACAAATATGATTTTGTTCATATCAGATAATGCCAAGGTAAGAGCAATCTCCTGTGCTAATTCCACACTCAACAAATTTTTGTCAAGCCTTCGACTTTAGTCGAAAAAGCGAGACATAGAGATCCTACATTCTGTCGGCGGCGTCGTCGGCGGCTGCGGCGGCGTCCACAAATATTCACTCTGTGGTTAAAGTTTTTGAAATTTTAATAACTTTCTTAAACTATCCTGGATTTCTACCAAACTTGGACAAAAGCTTGTTTATGATCATAAGATAGTATCCAGAAGTAAATTTTGTAAAAATAAAATTCCATTTTTTCCGTATTTTACTTATAAATGGACTTAGTTTTACTGCTGGGAAATATTACATTCACTCTGTGGTTAAAGTTTTTAAAATTTTAATAACTTTCTTAAACTATCCTGGGTTTCTACCAAACTTGGACAGAAGCTTGTTTATGATCATAAGATAGTATCTAGAAGTAAATTTTGTAAAAAAATAAATCCATTTTTTCCTTATTTTACTTTTTAAATGGACTTAGATTTTCTGCCAGGAAACAACACATTCACTCTGTGGTTAAAGTTTTTAAAATTTTAATAACTTTCTTATACTAGTACTATTTTGGATTTGTACCAAACTTGGACAGAAGCTTGTTTATGATAAAAAGCTGAATCTTGTTTATGATCAAATGCTAGTATCTAGAAGGAAATTTTTGTTTTCTTCCAGTTAACATTACATTCAGTCTGCAGTTAAAGTTTTTAAACATTTATTAGATTCATAAACTATCCTGGATTTTTACCAAACTTGGACAGAAACTTCTTACAATCAAAAGATAGTATCAAGAGGAATATTTTTATTGATTTACTTCCTTATTTTTAATGAGCCTGCGATTAACAGAAAAAGTAGGTGAGACACTGGGTTCCGTGGAACCCTTACGAATTTTTTAGATGAAGTTGTTTCTCTGATAAAATTGTCAGTCATGGCGAAGATTTGTACAATATTGTTATACTTGTAATACTGGTGCAGGTAACTTATTTCAGAAACAGAGTTATCTCTCCATTGGTCATCCAGGTTTTTGTCTCGCCTTGACGGAGTCAAAAAGTGAGACATAGGTATGCTGTTGTGGCGGCGGTGTCAACAATGTATTAGTTTGTGATTAGGTCAGATTTATGGTGAACAATTTGTGGTAGGTCAATGATATTTGGTATGCAGTTGTATTAGCATTGGCACATCTCATTTCGATGGAGATTACTTGGTCCCACCCCCTCAGTCATGATCTATTGACTTTGAAACTTTTACTTTGTGTGCATGTATTAGTTTGTGATTAGGTCAGTTTATGAGGAACCACTAGTGGTAGGTTAATGATATTTAGTATGTAGTTGTATAAGCATTGGCATATCTCATTTCCATGGAGATTATTTGGCACCACCCCCTCAGTCATGGTCTATTGACTTTGAAAGTTTTGCTTAGTTTACATGTATTAGTTGTGATTAGGTCAGTTTAAGGGGAACCATTAGTGGTAAGTCAATGATGTTTGGTATGCAGTTGTATAAGCATTGGCACGTCTCAATTTCATGGAGATTATTTGGCCCCACTCTTTCAGTAATGGTCTATCGACTTTGAATGTTTTGCATAGTTTACATGTATTAGTTTGTAATTAGATCAGTTTAAGATGAACCACTAATGTTAAGTCAGTTATATATGGTATGCAAATGTGTTGGCATTTGCAAGTTTCATTTCCATGGAAATTATGTGGCCCCACCTCCTCATCATGGTTCATTGACTTTGAAACTTTTACATTGTTTTTAAGTTAATGTTTGTGTTTAGGTTTGTTTAAAGGGAACAACTTATGATAAGTCAATGGTATTTGGTATGCAGTTGTATTAGCATTGGCACATCTCATTTCTATGGAGATTGTTTGGCCCTGTACCTTCAGTCATGGTTCATTGACTTTCAATATTTTGCATAACTTACATGTTAAAGTATTGCTATTTTAATTTCAACATTTACATTATCAAATAATAAAAAGGCAAGACATATCTCTGTGTTAATAGTTTATCTTTTTCTTAGAGAAATAAGAAAGCCATATTTTTTTCTCTTCTTGAATATTTCTTGACAACATTGCCTTTACTATTTCACAATTTATAAGCCTCCAGCGAACATTTTTTTACACTTAATTAACTGTGCTCTAGCTATGATTGAGTTCAGATGGGTACCGTTTTAAGGTGAAGGTTGTATCAAGATGCTTTCTTGTCTAATAAGGGACAACTTTATCATGGTAATAGATTTTTGATAGATTTATAGTATTTTTTATTAAAAAAGGATTTTTTCAGTAGCTAAAATGATTTTTTTGTGCAATTAGAAGAATTAATTTCTATTCAGAAAACAAAAATGTAGAGTGCAGAATGGAGCTGCATCTCTTTTTTTTTTGGTTAACTAGGACACTGCTTTTCTGCTTTTAAAACATATGTGCTTAGTAGATTTCTTTGTAAAGTCTTGTGATAAAATGTTGAAAAAAAGGAATTGGGGAATGCTTTGACGTCTCAAAATTTGAGACTTTAGAGGTTATAAATTTTTAGAGAAGCATAAGGGGAGATTATTTAAACATTGAAAAGAAAGTTCATTTTATTATTTCAGATTTTTTTAATATTTTTTTTTATATAATTTTTTTTATATTATTTCAGATTTGTTCATATGTTAATCAGTTTCTTCTTTCAAATGATTGTTATGGCTCGAGTGGAACAACTGTACGGGTCATTAAGAATTATGTTTATTTATGTTGGCAGTGGTACCATAGGTACTTTAGCTAGCTGTACACTGTTACCCTATCATGTTGAGGTAAGTTAACACAAACAAACAAATTTAAAGTTAAAACATTGATAAAGGTTATTGATTTATGAATTCAGTTGTTATATGAATTATATTTTTGTAAGTGTATGTTTTATTGATTGATTTTATCAAGGTTGGCTCACATGTATTGGCCATCAGTTTTATTGTCGAGCCTGCGACTTTTGTCGCAGAAAGCTCGACATAGGGATAGTGATCCGGCGGCGGCGGCGGCGGCGGCTACGGCGGCGGCGGCGTTAGCTAACTTCTTAAAAGCTTTATATTTTAGAAGGTGGAAGGTCTGGATGCTTCATACTTTGTATATGGATGCCTCATGTTACGAAGTTTCCGTCAGTCACATGTCCAATGTCCTTGACCTCATTTTCATGGTTCAGTGACTACTTGAAAAAAAAGTTAAGATTTTTTGTAATGTTAGATTCTCTCTTATTATAAGTAATAGGATAACTATATTTGGTATGTGCGTACCTTGCAAGGTCCTCATGCCCGTCAGACAGTTTTCACTTGACCTCGACCTCATTTCATGGATCAGTGAACAAGGTTAAGTTTTGGTGGTCAAGTCCATATCTCAGATACTATAAGCAATAGGTCTAGTATATTCGGTGTATGGAAGGACTGTAAGGTGTACATGTCCAACTGGCAGGTGTCATCCGACCTTGACCTTATTTTCATGGTTCAGTGGTTATAGTTAAGTTTTTGTGTTTTGGTCTGTTTTTCTTATACTGTATGCCATAGGTCTACTATATTTGGTGTATGGAATGATTGTAAGGTGTACATGTCTAGCGGGCAGGTGTCATCTGACCTTGACCTCATTTTTCATGGTTCAGTGGTCAAAGTTAAGTTTTTGAGTTTTGGTCTTTTTTTCTAGTACTATATGCAATAGTTCAACTATATTTGGTATGTGCGTACCTTGCAAGGTCCTCATGCCCGTCAGACAGTTTTCACTTGACCTCGACCTCATTTCATGGATCAGTGAACAAGGTTAAGTTTTGGTGGTCAAGTCCATATCTCAGATACTATAAGCAATAGGTCTAGTATATTCGGTGTATGGAAGGACTGTAAGGTGTACATGTCCAACTGGCAGGTGTCATCTGACCTTGACCTCATTTTCATGGTTCAGTGGTTATAGTTAAGTTTTTGTGTTTTGGTTTGTTTTTCTTATACTGTATGCCATAGGTCTACTATATTTGGTGTATGGAATGATTGTAAGGTGTACATGTCTAGCGGGCAGGTGTCATCTGACCTTGACCTCATTTTCATGGTTCAGTGGTCAAAGTTAAGTTTTTTGAGTTTTGGTCCTTTTTTCTAATACTATATGCAATAGTTCAACTATATTTGGTGTATGGAAATATTTTATGATCTATTTGGCAGTCACACAGGTTTTATTTGACCTTGACCTCATTTTCAAGGTTCATTGCTCAGTGTTAAGTTTTTGTGTTTTGGTCTGTTTTTCTTAAACTATAAGCAATAGGTCAATTATATTTGTTGTATGGAAGAATTGGTAGCTGTACATGCCTGCCTAGCATGGTTCATCTGACCTTGACCTCATTTTCATGGTTCATTGGTCAATGTTTAGTTTACTTGGTTAATGTTAAGTTTATGTGACAGTTGTAATAAAGCTTTATATTTAGGACTATCAACATAATATCAATGATTAGTAAAGAAGGCGAGACATTTCAGCGTGTGCACTCTTGTTGATTGATTTTAACAAGGTTGGCTCACATGAGTTGGCCATCAATTTTATTGATTGATTTTTACAAGGTTGGCTCACATGAGTTGGCCATCAGTTTTATTGATTGATTTTAACAAGGTTGGCTCACATGAGTTGGCCATCAGTTTTATTGATTGATTTTTACAAGGTTGGCTCACATGAGTTGACCATCAGTTTTATTGATTGATTTTAACAAGGTTGGCTCACATGAGTTGGCCCATCAGTTTTATTGATTGATTTTAACATGGTTGGCTCACATGAGTTGGCCATCAATTTTATTGATTGATTTTTACAAGGTTGGCTCACATGAGTTGGCCATCAGTTTTATTGATTGATTTTAACAAGGTTGGCTCACATGAGTTGGCCATCAGTTTTTTGATTGATTTTAACAAGGTTGGCTCACATGAGTTGACCATCAGTTTTATTGATTGATTTTAACAAGGTTGGATCACATGAGTTGGCCATCAGTTTTATTGATTGATTTTAACAAGGTTGGCTCACATGAGTTGGCCATCAGTTTTATTGATTGATTTAAACAAGGTTGGCTCACGTGAGTTGGCTCACGTGAGTTGGCCATCAGTTTTATTGATTGATTTTAACAAGGTTGGATCACATGAGTTGGCCATCAGTTTTATTGATTGATTTTTACAAGGTTGGCTCACATGAGTTGACCATAAGTTTCATTGATTGATTTTTACAAGGTTGGCTCACATGAGTTGACCATCAGTTTTATTGATTGATTTTAACAAGGTTGGCTCACATGAGTTGATCATCAGTTTATTGATTGATTTTAACAAGGTTGGCTCACATGAGTTGGCCATCAGTTTTTTTAGACATACTGTAAATTCAGAAATTATTGTGTGCATTTATTATTGCGATTTTTGAAAGAATAACAGAAATGCGAGTTTAACTATTGCGAATTTTGGAAAAGCTACATACAGATATATGTATTTGATATTAGAATGCGAGTTTTTATTATTGCGATACTCAAGTAGTTGTGATATTCGCATTAATAAAAACCTCGCAATAATTTCTGAATTTACAGTACTCTAGATAATAGTGTTCATTTATGAAAAATAAATCCTTCCTAATCATATTACAAAAAGTCAGTGTTCTAGTTCTGTATTTATGTCCTGTTTAAATGTAATATTTTGCTTCTTATACTGCTTAAGGAAAAAAGGTTTTCTGATTTTGAATATAAAGATTCAAAATTGCTGTTAAGATGACGGAAGTGATTTAGGAGCAAGTAAAAGTTTGAGCAAATGTCTATGTTTTGGTTACAGGTATTTTCAGCAGTTTTAAAATCAATGGTTCACAAAACATCCATTTTTTAAGTTTCTTTGATAGACAAATCCATAGGACAACTAAACAAAATTGTATTCTGGATACAGACAGCTTCAAAAGAAATGGGTGAAATAGACCAGGCCTGTTTTTACAAAAGGCCATACAATATGCAAGTAGTTAATATTTTGAAAAGTTTGTTAATGTTTTTAGTCATATGACCTGGGCCTTGTCTTTCTGGGTTCAAACCTCCCATTTAAGTTATCCAAAACAAGTCACAAGTGATTATCAGGATATAAATGGTGTTTTGTAATTTATCATTGGAACATATTTGTTTCTTTTCATTGTAATTTGATTATATACTTTCAGACTGGACCAGCTGGTGCCCATTTTGGTATCTTGGCCTGTGTGTATGTTGACATCCTCTATAATATACTGAACAACTGGCAGAATGACAAGTCATACTTGAATGCTGGACTAAAATCTAACTTGGGTATTTATAGTCTGGTTCTACTGGTCCTATTTATATGTGGTCTCTTGCCATGGGTAGACAACTGGGCCCATTTATTTGGATTTGTATCAGGGGCTTTGTTATCATTAGTGCTGATAAAGGACATACAAATTGAAGATAAAGGACTTACCAAATTACGTATTATTGTTGTATCATTGGCTTTATTTGTGCTGATGTTTGTCTTACTTATGATTGGGTTTTATGTTGTACCAATTACTCAACGATCGTGGATACAATATTTCAACTGTATTCCATTCGATGATACGTTTTGTCACAACATGGATGTTAGCATTACAAGAGGTGCAAGTTACACAAAATATTTATAGATTTTCATAATTTCTAATTTAATTTCCCATACTGATAACAAGATTTCTGATTTTAAGATATCATTCAATTATGTTAGGGTAGCATCAAATTTGACCAGTACAAATGTAGTACAATCTTTTGTTTACCTCTCAGGTGTTTTGCTTCTGTTTATAATAGGAATGATCATGTTTAGATGAAGCTTTTAAATTCAAACAGGAAAATTTGTTGTATTTGTATTAAGGTACTTGTCTTTATCAAATAATAGATTCTCATTATATTTGGATTGTAACATTAAAATCACAGATTGATGTCTGCAAGTTGACTTATACTTTATGTATCTGCTTATCAGAGTTTATTTTGAATGAATATAAAAATAGAAATTAATAAAAAATAAATTATGTATAAAACCACACAACAGTTTTGATTTCTGAATATATTGATATTTAATTTTCATAAACATATTTGGGTTGTCAACAGCACCTATAAATAAATATAAATATTAAATTCCTGCATAATAACTATTATAACTTTTATTCACAATCAGTCTAATTGTATTAGAAAGTATGTACTTAAAATATAGTTTAAATTAAAGAAACAACTTGCAATTATAATACATGTACTGCTTATTTATTGATTTACCTCAATAGTTATTATCATTTCATAGAGTAGTATTAGAGTGTATTAGTATAGGATAAGTTTAGGTAAATTAAAAGAGTATGACTAATTTATTATTAATAATCATGCCTATTTGAAGTAAATTTCCTCTACTAAGTAGTTGGAATAGATGATACAGTGATTGTAGTGTCAAATGGATTTTTTATATGTTTTTTTGTAAATGAAATTTCAAAGCCTTAACGTAAGTAAATTGAAAAAAACATGAACATAATTTTAATGATTCAATTGTGGTTATGTAAAAACAATTGTATCATTAAAAGTCCTAAGTGTGACTATCTTTTTGTTAACAATCATTTTTTGTCTATTATTATGTTTAAATGTAAATTGCAATGGGTTATATTATTTTCCTCATATAAAATCAACATTTGTTCTGATCTCAACTTTCATTTTGTGTAAAGTGCAATTTTATATTAATTTTCTCATATATGTTGAAGAACTATTGGGATATCATGAAATAGATAGATGCTGTATAGTATTATTAAGAGTCCCAATTTGAGAACAGAACATTTTATTTTGAACGACTTTTATGTAGAAAAAAGAATTGACCCATTGTTCCATATTGTATCACTGTGTTAAAATGTTAGTTTGTGTGGCAGTTCTAGTTTTTCTCCCTTAGTTTGAGTTGATGTGGCAGTTATCTGCCATTAGTTTTTGTGGTTGTGGCAGTTATAAATTTCATTTTATTTTAGATGTTTTCATATTTTTATAATTTATATATTTCATATTACATTTTTTATATTTATATATTTTCATCGAAGGTGTAGAAATACATTTTACAATCTTAAGACAATTTTTGCAAATAGCAGAGTTACAAGCTCAAAAAAAAATATGCTCAGGAGTAAATTGTAACATGTTCATCAGGCAATTGTTTCTTTATATCTTTATGTTTTTTGTTTTTACTTTTGTTATTAATATAAATGTTTAACTTTATAGAACTGTTAAAAATACTGTTGCAAATATTTCTATATACAGTTTACAGTTTTAAAATTCTTTATATGTTTAGTCACAAAAGTGCTCTTATTTGCTTAAAATGCTTATTCTTGGTTGCTAATATTTATTATCATCTTCACTTTAAAATACCAGATTTTTATTTGGTTAATACGAGGAAGATGAGTTTCTCTATCCCATTGCTCAGCACAAGACAATTTTTTAATGTCACCCTCTCATGCAAACCAACTAAAAATCAATAATTAAAAAGACGATGAATTGAATTTTCATCAATAATTTTAAAGACAATGCACAAGTTCTTCGTTTTACCTTCAGGCCTTTTTCATAGACTATCAACATTAAGAAATACCCCTTGATTGACAATGTTTTTCGTGGGGTGACAATCTACCCCATCACCCTCTCAGTTATGTGTTATACATATTATGTGCTAGTTCATTTTAATTTCATTGTACTAGTATAATTAGAATTCAGATTTTCAAAACAGTCCAAAGTAAACCCCCTGAAAATTATGATATGTTATCATTTATAGTATTCTTGGTAAGCATATTGCTATTAAGGTGGTACATAACACTAGACGGAGATAACTCTGTAAAAATCAGCTGATAGTTTTAATCACGTTCTATTGTTAAGGAAATATTAAGCTTCTCAATGATCAAAATTAGTGTTTGTCAAACTGCTATATATCCAATGAAATTTTACCGATAAAGTGTGTGGTTCAAGTTTTTTGAAATTTTTATATTTTTGTCAAAGGGTCAAAGTAAATATTTTGTCAAAATTTTATGAATATTAAATAAGCCAAATTAATTTTAGTCAAGGTGTTTGGTATCACCTTAAAAAGCATACTAGATGACGTCTAGTTTGAGAATGCAATAAATTTTGTTTTATGAGTTTTCTGATGAACTTAGTGTGTATATAGATTTTTCTATTTTTGGTAATAATGTTCACAATGCAATTGGTGTCTTCTTGGTTATTTTGACTCTGCTGACTTACATGTATTGTGTCTTCATGTTTTTCATATCTTATGACTAATTTAAGTGTTGCATTGAAGGATTTTTTTTTACAATGTAATTTAATGGTTAAATCAACAAAATATAAAAACATAATTAATATAGAGGACAGAATAATACAGGCACATTACACAGAATTTTCTTTTTACAATGGTAAAGTCAGACTACACCAAAGACAGTATTGTAGATTTTGTAATGATCAGCATTTTTACAATGAGATGTTGACTTAAAATATGAGAGCATGATGATGTTCCTGATATATTGTACAATTAATAAACATTCTTAGTCTCCTGGCTATTTTAAAAATATTTCTGTTGCTATAACTCGTGATGATTGAGTTATCATTCTGTGTGATATTTTTTAGTTTTTTTGTTTTATTATTGAGTGCCATTTTATTAGTTGAATTAAAGTGCTTTACGTTGAGGGACATTTTCAGAGCTATGATGACCCTCATTCTGTATTATTGTTACTTCAGTTATTTGTTATTAATTTTTAATCAGAACATTTTTCTAGCTCAGTTTCTTCAAAGGTCTAAATGAACTTTTGTCATCTCATTGCAGCCATTATCCATTCATCGTCCATAACATTAAAACTAATGAATCAGCATATTAATGGAAATGACCATGAAAATTACAGAGTAAAAAACACTTATAATCATCTTTTGTTTGTGTAACTACAAAACCTTAACGTTGATGATATGGTACTATTACATGTATACTTATATCCAGAATTATGTCAGATATCCTTAGCTTTTTATAATAAATTTGAAATATTGAAGAAGAAAAAAAGTATTTTTAAAGGACTTGACCTATGTATATGTCAGTGTTCCAGCTAGGTCGTTTTCACAGGGCAGTCCGCCCGCCCTTTACCGAGTGCCGCCCTGTGCCCTTTTTAAGATGCCCTGCCCTTTTCGTAAGTCCATGCCTTTATTGTCGTAATATTTTGATGAAATACAATTATTCTACCTGTCTTCATATTTATGACAAGTTTATGACCCTCAGCTAATTAACATTTACAGCAGGTGTATTAAGTTGTGATTACAGATAATCGGCTTATCGACATCGGATGGGTCATTAATCTGTTAATTAAACTTCATAATTGACCATTTTAATAATTTTTCTCATTAAATTCAGTCAGTCAGCATTTCAATTTCAATATTTCTCAAAAGATGACGATTTGCGTTTGATGTATCCATAGTCCAAATAATTATGCCATCTTGCAAGGCTATTTTTAATTTTTGGCGTCACAGAAAAAAATTAAAAATAGCCTTGCAAGACGGCATAAGTATTTGGACTAATGTATCCATAGATCGTCTTGTTTATATGTCAAAGATTGATTTTTTTTAATTGATCTTTTAAACTAGTTTTAATCCAGAAGAAAGTAAAAACAATGCTTGACTGTACCTTTCATTGAATATCTATATCCAAATTAAATTAATTAAAGCTGTAATCCATGATCACAAATTGACTGCTTTGTTTACATTTGTTGAAAGCCATGTGCTTTTTTGGCGGGGAAAATTCGGAAAACTCCTTTAACAAGAAACAGTTACATTTCATTGTCACAGTAAGATTTTCATTTTGATTAAATGCTAAGATTAATTCATTAAAAATGAATACTTTCTTGGGGTGATACTGATACTACTTTAATACTCTACATCTAGGGGTGTGTAAAATGGAAAAAGGGGGGGGGGATTTTTTATATATAATATTACAAATATAAGTTTAAAAGTCTGAAAAGACATGGTTAAATGGATTTTAATTCTGAAAAAACTCAATGTGGTTTATTTTAATTCATTTATTATTTCTATCATAATCAGAAACACTGGGCTACATGTATTAGGCATTTCAAACATATATTATTGCCTTTATAAGAACATTCAAGACTATTAATAAGTATGTAACTGTAGTAAAAATACCCTAATTTCTACTGGGCCCTTGGAAAAAAGTTTTGGGATCCAGGTTGGCCCCTGGAGAAAATGTAAGGTATTGTTCCTGACTGTATTGCAGATCTAGTGTAGTATTTTAACTGACATGCACAATTCATTTCACTAATGAAATAAAAATAATTCTTCAAAACGCTGCTGCGCTCTGCATTGCAACTTAACCTTAGACATACCATGCATCAAAAATGTTCTGGGGAAGACTGAGCTAGTAATATACGTCATTGCATGGTCCTTTTAGTACTGTTACCCAAAATAAGGTTGATTTTCATCTAACGTAAAAGTGACTAAACCCCCTCAAAACTCCTAGCTGAAACCCCTGCAGTTAACATAAGACAATGTTTGGCATGCCCTTTTTGAAATATCAATCATCATGCTAAAGTGCCCTTTTCATGATTGGCTCCCTGCCCTTTTGAAATCCTAGCTGGAACACTGTATGTCATATTCTGAGTTAGTCCTAAAGGAAAAATTCTTAAGATGTCATTGCTCATAAACCATAATGACCCTTCCAAAAGGTGGAAATTTTAATAGGACTGCATATGAAAGGTTTTCTTTTCTGAAAGTAGTTTTACAGCTTTTTGTCTAAATCATAACTAAGGCATCTAATGCATTTAATAAACCCACCGACTAACTAACACAGCAGCACTTACTATAAATAGAACATGCAGTTAACTATAATATTTTGTCTGTAACCACACAACTGATAGTGTCCAAATGTTGCTGCTATGGTTTTGATACAATGTTAATTACCTCATTCACTTTTTTAAATGTTGAAAAAAGTAAAAGTTATTATCCTTGAAAAAAAACTTCCAATTGTCCTGCCAAAAATTAACATTGCCATTAACAAAGACACTATTTTGAGGTACTTATATCCGAATGGCAAGTTAGATACAAATGGCATTTTTAAAATCTTTTTAACCCATATATTGGAATTGAGTAGAATAATTAACCATCTTGTATGTTCAATAGATAGAGACTTCTTGTTTGTAAGTAACTGTCATTGTCATACTTTTTAATACTTTATATTTTTGACATTTTTCTTTTCTATAATTTTACATAAACCATGCAATATTGATATGTTAATTTGTAACGTGATAAAAAGGAAAGTAAACCTGTATTGTTGTGTTTTTATTTTAGTATGAGTGTGACGCTCTTTACAGATGTGATTGTCAAGTCAATATCAAATGTACATTATTAAAACTTCAGAAGGCGTTATAGTATAGGAAGATAAATTTACATTGGTTTAAAAACAAAAGCATGGATATAATTGAAATTATTTAAGATGCCTGCCTTATTCTTTGAAGGATTGATGGTTACTCTAGATTGGTTGGCATGGTGATTTGTTACAGAGAGCATACATTGCAATTCCTGTTCACAGTTACTAATGAAGGCTACATCGTCTGCACTTGTTGAACAACCAACATATGTTGTGCCTATTTTAAGTCCTAAACTATGTGATTTAAGATTGTTGACATATACTTTGTAGAGAAATGGAGAGAGGATTCCACCCTGGCGTACTCCTTGATGAATTTGGAAGCTATCGCCAATGTTTCCTTTCCATTTGACCTTAGAGACTAGACCACTGTATAAGTGTTTTACCACAGTCCACATTGAATGGTTTTGTGTGTGTTCATGTAGTTCATCCAGCATTATTATATGATCCACTACATCAAATGCTTTCTGACTGTCATTAGTAATCAGATACAAAGGTTTAATTGTGAGATGTTTAGCTTCTGCTCTAGCCTCAGTGATAATTAGCCCAGCCATAAGCATAGACATGCCCTTTGTAAACCAAATTGAAGAGTTGACTGTTTAAAATTTTGAGTCAGAGATGGCAGTATGGTACATTCAAAGGGCTTTGAAACAACAGGTGTGATGGCAATTCCCCTGTAGTTGTCCATCATCGTTGGATTTTTTCCTTTTTTTCAGCACGGGTATTACAATGCCAGATTTAAATATATGTGGAATAAGCTTATCTTTCATGATAGTATTAAAACAGTCTGTAAGAAATTGTGTAACTATTGCTGGAGAATTTTTAAAATGTTCAGCAGCGAGACCTAGTTCATCTGTTGCCTTGCCGGAATGAAGCTGTTTAATAACAACGCAGATATTCTGAGTGCTGAATTCAGTTGTAATATTTTCCTGTTCGCACAGTTGTTGGATGATTTTGTGCCGGACATTACATAGGTCTAGAAATTCTGGGTCATATCCTTTGTCTTTGGGGAGAGCCAGGTCCTCGTAATATTTTGAGAAGCTTTGTGTTTGATCAGTGGCAGAGTACTGAAGTTCACCATTTTCCATTATGCACATCGAGTCCTTGTTTCTGTTGCCTCTATTACGACGAATTAGCCTATGGAACATTTCGTTGCTTGGATTGTCCATCACTTCTTTGTAAAATTGAGCCCTATCTATGTATTGTTCTCTCCTCATTTGTTTTCTTAGATTGCGTTGATCCAAAATTTTGTCCGACTTGAAGTGGTCATCATGTTTACCATGCGATTTCCAAAGATGATATTTTTCCTTACAGGTTTGAAGAAGGCTGAGGGTTGTTGGTGATGCCTTGAATTTAGGACCTTTCTGTTTGATGATTTTGGATGGAAAGGCAACTGCTGCGGCTTTTTTCAAATAGTTGCACAGATATTGAATGTTTTCTTCCAAAGAGTGTTTTTCTATGTTGTATTGAGTAAGTTCTTCATTTATGAGAGTATTAAAGGATTCAGAGTCTAAATATTTCCGTTGAAGTTTGAATTGCCTTGCAAAGTTTGGTTTGACTATTCTTTGTTTAACGTTTGCTTTTACTTCGATTTTTGCGCTGACAGGCACATGACTTGAAGTATTTGATGGACATCTATTGTGTTTTATAATAAGAGATAATTGTAGAGGTGTTATTGTCTAGAATATAGCCTATTTGAGAACAGGACAGTCCAGAATGATGGAAGAAAGTTGATTTGTCAGTACAGCTCTGTTTTAAGTTCATTTCCTGCACAAGTGCTTGTAGCAGTCTGTCATGTTTGTTATAATTTCTCGGAGGCTTTAATGTTCCATTGAAATCTCCCGCTATGATAATTCTTTGGGTTGCTGAATATGTTGAAAAGATGGAGCTAATGATATCGAGACATTCAGTATATTCCAGATAAGAGTCTCCAGAGTTGATTGTAGGCATATAGACACAGATAATACATAAGTTAAACGGAGGCTTTAGTTCAACTGCTATGAAATAAAGGCAACAGTAGTATACCGCTGTTCGAAACTCATAAATCGATAGAGATAAAAACAAATCCGGGCTACAAACTAAAACTGAGGGAAACGCATCAAATATAAGAGGAGAACAACGACACAACAAAAACACAATATTAAAATGTAACACACACAGAAACGAACTATAACATAACAATGGCCATTTTCCTGACTTGGTACAGGACATTTTAAGAAAAAAATGGTGGGTTGAACCTGGTTTTGTGGCATGCCAAACCTCCCGCTTTTATGGCAACGTCAAACACAACACCAAAACGACAACATCACATGACAGGACCACAATACAAATAAATGGGAGAACATATAAGACAAAGAAACACGAATAATAACTTACAAAAGGTACTAGGCTTAAAATTCAGGACGCCAGACGTGCGTGTCGTCCACACAAGACCAACCAGTGACGCTCAGATGAAAAAAGTTTGAAAGCCAAAACAAGTACAAAGCTGAAGAGCACCGAGGACCAAAACTTCCAAAAAGTTGCGCCTAACACGGCCAGGATTTCTGCCTGGAACAATAACATCCTTATTATTTAGAATAATTTATAATTTTACAAACAGTAAATTTTATAAAATGACTATATAATAGATATACATGATAAAACCAAAGTGGGGACTAACTACAGAATAAAAACGGATACATTACATAAAACAACTATTACCCTGTTGTTTCCGGATTGTATTTCTTGGACGGATGGCGTCAGATGATTTTTCCAAGCTATTGCAACACCCCCTTTCCCTCTTGGCAGTTTAAAATTATCAATTTCCTCATTGGTGTCACTGCATCTTATATGCATGTCCATATTAGGTAACACAGGCCCTCAAATTTGTTTTTGAAATTCATACAACCAGTGTTCCTGGATGCAGATTATGTCTGATGGCATTTCCAATGTATTAAAGTAAAATGAATTTCCTTTTCATTCCATATTGATTGTGGTTAAGTTTAGATAATCTTTGATAAATTTTTTTTCGTTTTTATTTTTAATTTTGCTGGTTTTATGAGATTCTGATTATGCTTGGATCTGGTGGTGGGTTGATTTGGTCGAGCCCTAAAAAAGACTTGTCTGAATTTGCTTGATGCGATGTAGCTCCTACAGGCGTTGACGGGCAGTTTTGCATGGTTTCGGTTGTGTACGTATCATCTTGAGGACTGCAGTTCGAGGTTGGAAGTGCCTGTTGTTGGTTCTCTTGCAGATTTATGTTAGCAGAAGTTTAATTGCACGGAATGTCCCCAGGTGAAACAAATAATGGAGTGCCAGATTGATGATTTATGCAGTTCGTTTTAACTTGAGCCTCCTGTGCATTAGATGGATATACACAATTGGACACTTCTGAGAAGACTGATTTTTAGACGCTTGTACAGAATTTTGATGCATATTAACGCTGTGGAATCTTGGTATTTGGGATGTAGCATGGTTCGACCTGTTGTGATGTTTGTCATGGTTGTCTGGTTGTCGTTCAGAGCTTCTGTTACATTCTGATGGACATGCTTGGGGTGGCATATTGTTTATATTTTCTCTCTGTATGGGTTGATAATTAGCAGAGTGATGCATGTGCTGTTGGTATACGTTTTGTCTGAAGATTGGCTGCTGAAAATAGAGGATGCTGATTTATTCTGACGGGAATATTTGGTATAATATTTTGAGGATAGCCAGGAGGAGGTGGAATATGCCTCGGTATTGACATGCGTGGATACATGGAGAAGCCGAGATTTGGCCGAAAAGATTATTGCTGAAATGGTGGTTGGAGTATATATTGGTGTTGTTGCTGCATCATTTGTGGTTGTTGCATCATTTGTTGCTGTTGTATCATTTGCTGTTGCTGCATCATAAATTGCATTTGTTGATTTGCTAACATGTTGTTCATGGACATGTTCTGCATCATCTGCATCTCTATCATTCTGAACCTTTGCTCTACAGTGTCATTTCTATGATGGTTAGAGTTTAGATGATTTGATGTTGAAGATTGTTGTGAAGAATTCATGCTGAAGGATGCTGCTTCTGGTTGCTCATTTTGGTGACGTAAGCTACTTTGCAGTTCAAGAGTGGATTTTAGCTTATTGATCTCATTTTCTAATTTAATTATGTATGCTTTATCATCAGCATTATTGATCTTAGGTTTCATTGTTCTTATATTTTGTCGTCTGGGCTTCTTCTGAATGTTATGACAGGGATGGTTCAGAATTTGGGAATGTTTTTGGAATACCTCCATAGGATTGGTTGCTAGTTTGCTGAGAATGGTTATCCTTTGCATTGTTGGCTAGAACACTAGTATCATGTTGGTTATAAATTTTCTTCACCAGTGTTGTTTCATCCGAAGCATCCATTACAGAGTTTGTAACACCTTCTGGTAGAGTAGTAGGTGGCGTGGGAGGTCGCACGTAGGTATCATGAGAGGTGTCATTTACTACTAAAGGATTCATTTCGGAATGCAGATTCTGAGAATTGTTACAACCAGTTGTGTCAACCTCATACAACATGTTGTCCGTGCACAGATCACAAACAAAGTCTAAGGCGTTCAGTGCACTAACAGCTGATTGTGAGAGTCCTGCACACTCAAAGTGTATCCAAAGAGATCATTCACTACGCTCAATAGTTTCTAAAAGCGATATTTTGTTGCAAATTGGGCATATGTCTGCTGTATCCTCATTTAAATCTTTGCTTTCGTCAATTCTAAAAGATATAGCTAGATCATCCAAGTTGTTTTGACGGTTTATATTTGCCGCAGCAAGATTTTGATTTAGATTTGGCACTGTACATTGTTATCATTTAGCGATGTAAGCATGTGACCTTTTTTGGAGAGTTCATCACATCAAATAAAAGTTTGTGAATATAAGCCACATAAAGGTCTACTCTAGAGCCATTAA